CTAGGTTTCTAAGATGCTGGTTGTTGACTCTAAGCTGTCAACCACTTTTTTTTTTTTTTTTTTGCTTTTGTATTACTCATGAAAAATATAGCTGAAAATTCCATAAATGTGAAAATTTTGATCTCCTATAAGAAGACATTGGCTTAAGCACTTTGTATATGTGTCGGGTCCCCAGCTTCAGGAGCTAGACCCTTGCTTCCCACAGTGGCTAGCACCAGACCATTGCCTCTTAGCTTTCCTTGTTGCGTTCCTCCACTCGCACAGGAACTACGCCTCATTGGATTGGAATCTCATCTATTTCCTGTCATTTCTAAACCCCTTGGACTATAAATGTATGCACATCTCTCTTTCCATCTCAGAGAAGATGACTTTCTTCTTCCCATCCAAGATCAATGTCTCTTTCCTGGCCTCTGCGTTCCTTTTGTACTTATCTTTTCCCAAGCCTTGCCCATCGGTTATTCTTACTCTCTTCCCACAGATCAGAGACTACTTCAGTCCTCCACTTTTCTCTACAGTTCTGTGTTGACCTTAACAGCCGCCCCTCCCTCACTAACCAGACTTCTTACATCACTGCCACAGTACACGAAGACCAACTGTATCTGTGAAGACACATTCAGTGTCTGCTGTATTTAAAAGCAGAAAAGCACAAAGAAGAAAATGACATGAATCCTAATCTAACCACCTCCAGATGCATCCACTGGTAACATTTCATTGCACTCCCAGGAATCCTTTTACAGTAAGAGTAGTGGACACTGATGGATCGACTCCCCCACGCCAGGGGAGGCGCTGTGTGTATGGCAAGACTCTAAATGAAGGAAGCAGGGTGTTGATTTACTTTTGTGAAGTCAGTTCCTTATCATGGTGTGGACCAGTCAGAACAGTTAAGGCGGGGGCGATGCCCACAGAAGCCTTGTGAGCGAGGCACTATCCCCATTTCGAAGATGTGGGTACTGAAGCCCCTTATGCTTCAGAAACTTGCAACTACAGAACAGCCAGGTTGGAGTTCAATCCAGGTAATCAGGATACAGGGCCTGCAGCTAGTAACCACCTCTTTGTGCTCTGTATTGTTGACAGTTAACCACCGGCTTGCCCAGTGAGGGATTTAAACCTGATTACAGTTCTGCTGAACCTTTCTTTCTAAGTAAAAGCTCCAAATAAAAAATGATGTCCAGGACCAACTATTTTAATTCAAATAGTGCATGCATTTTGCTTTTTCTAACTTCAAGGGATAAGAATCTCTCATTAGCCACTAATCTTGGCTATTCAGGGTAATAGAGAAAGCTTTGTGGGCTCCTCAAAAGCATGGTCATCATCTTATGGATGTAAAGTCAAAATCAGCAGTGAGCTACGTTCTCTGAGGAGAGTTCTCTAAGGATGTGAAGGAAAGGCTGTCCCACTGTGCCTGGCTTCCTAAGTTCTCTGAATTCAACTATCCATGGTACAACTGACTTTTCAAATCTCAGTTCCAAATGCTATCAACGTGACTTACCACTTGATCACATAACCTTCACCTTGATCACAGGTTCTCCACTGTGAAGCTACTTTTTTCCCTGTCTTTCTATACTGTGTTCTTTGGAAGGAGGTTGCTGTGGTGAGCCCACACTTAAGGGATGGGAGGTGGCCTTCTTTACAGGAGATTAGGCCCTTCTCCCCTGTTGTTTATATCAGAGCATGGACTCGGGGATATTTATTTTATACTGTGGGTTATAATTCAATACTACATTGTCATGTTGCTCAAATTGTTCCAGCTACAGCCATTAGGGACTAATTTTGGTTGGCTCCTGGTCCTCTAGCTCCTGTGTCCTCTGCTTGCTTTTTGAGCACTCTGACCCTGTAGATAGTCCAGGCGGATTATCTTGCACATTCCCAGCCCAGGTTCTATAACAAGTCATTTTCCTCAAAGAACTCTGGTTCCTTTGCTTGAAAAGTAACTAGAGAAACCAAGATCTGGGTGCAGGGTGGGTGGTCCTATTTTGAAGGCTGCTTCCTAATGAGATAATATTGACAGCAAAGTGCAGCAGAAAACCCAACCCCACAGTCGCTCAGGGAATAAATCATGCTCATTGTCACTAGTTTATTAGGTTTGCATTCTGATTTGGAAGTCAGCATCACTGGGTTCTGCAAATAATTGAGGAGCATAGCATGTCAAGGTCAGTCAGGAGGGCATGTTCTAAGTCATGATTACTCTGGGTGAACTCAGAACTTGTAAAGCTCCTTGTTTTCTGAAACAGACTGGTTGAATTAGGTCTGTTTATTATGCTAGGATGCAGTGCTTTGCTCAGGAAAGCTGACCTGCAGAGCGATATTGCAGCTTTTAACAAACACCATTCCTTTCTGGACAGTGTAGAAACACTCCTTGTTGAAGAACTGGTTGCAAGGCGAGACAGTATTTTAGTATTGCAAGCACAGCAAAAGCTTCAGACACTTCAGGGAGAAAGAGAAAGGAGGCTCCATGAGTGCAGCATTCCATCTCCTTAGTTACCAGTGATTACTCAAGCCTAAAACTGGACAGACAGCTTTCAGTTTGGATGTTCCTAGGAGTCCCTATCTAGGCCATAGGTGTGTGTGGTTGAAAACTAGGAAGAGGCACGTGACTTTGCTAAAAGATGTGTAGGATACCTGGACAGGTAGATACCAGAGAGAAACAGTGACTTAGTAGTGCCAGGTCACACCATGCAACCTTCGAAATGCAAAATTGAGCTGCCATCCTAGAAAGCTCCTATTAGAGATCCATCTTCTCTGAACACTGTGGTTGTATATATTCAAGAGACCAGGACTTTTAATCACCTTCCCAGGTTAACTGACACTGATGGAAGTGTCTTAGGTGAGGTGGGCACACCCACTATCATGGCACCCTCCCCACTCCAGAGGATGCTGATCATTTCCTACAAGACTGTGAAAAGCCTCCAGGTGTGCATTACCACGTAGAGAGGCCAGAGAGAGGAATTACCTGGCTTGTTTGCTTCGGAAGCATGCTCACACCATCCTTCTCTCTGACACGCAATCACACCCTCCTTTTCCTTGGTTTGTTGTGACTTAAAAGCCACTTTCCAATGATTTTGCAAAGCCTAGAGAGATTGCAGCATGTGTTTGAGGCATTCTCTCACATTCAGATTGCTGCTGGCTGAGAACTAAAGCCCGATAATGATTCTCCTGGAAGCTTGCGTTTTGAGCAGGATGTGCCTCCTGTTTCACTTTAACCATAAGGGAAACAGAACAGTTCACTGTGGCAGGTCCTAAGGCACAGATCCACTCCAGACTTGGGGTGGTGCTCCCTCATCCCGACCATTTACAGCTATACTGCTGTGGGGAGTATTTGAGACCTAAAGCAAAGCTGTAGAGAGCGGGGTGACTCATCTGTTTGTTGGGATGGGATATAGATGGGAATAAAATGTACCCCAGCCCCATACTTGGTATTGTGTTGGGGTCGTTATATGAAATTGCTGCCATGCTTGGGCATAGCCAGGAGTAACATAAGTTTGAGGTTGGCAGCTTTGCAGTGGGAAAAGATGACAAGCCACTTGTCCAGGCACTCAGGTAATCAAGTCCCTGAGCTCCAAGTTGCGAGATCCAAGGGAGTATTTTTCCCTTCGTGTCAAAACAGGATATGTGTTTTGGCAGCCAGCACCAGGATTAAATGACAGCCCATCTGCCATTTTTGAAAAACAGCGGGATAAATTTCCAGATGCAGAAAAAAGCCTATTGCATTTGTAAAGTGAAATATATTTATAGTTGATCCTCCAAGATATTTTCAAATGTTTCAACATGTCATAGTAAATAGGACCAGCCTTATTCCATGAAAGTAATATCATTACATATTTTTAATTTTTTTATTCATATGTGCATGCAATGCTTGGGTCATTTCTCCCCTTTCCTCCCACCCCTTCCCTTATCCCCCACCCCCGCCCCCTCCCTCTCCCTCCACCCCCTCGATACTCGGCAGCAATTATTTTGCCCTTATCTCTAATTTTGTTGAAGAGAGAGTATAAGCAGTAATAGGAAGGAACAAGGGTTTTTGCTAGTTGAGATAAGGATAGCTATACAGGGAGTTGACTCACATTGATTTCCTGTACATGTGTGTTATCTTCTAAGTTAATTCTTCTTGATCTAACACTTTCTCTAGTTCCTGGTCCCCTTTTCCTATTGGCCTCAGTTGCTTTAAAGTATCTGCTTTAGTTTCTCTGCGTTGAGGGCAACAAATGCTAGCTAATTTTTTGGGTGTCTTACCTATCCTCACACCTCCTTTGTGTGCTCTCGCTTTTTTCATGTGATCAAAGTCCAATCCCCTTGTTATGTTTGCCCTTGATCTAATGTCCGCATATATACATTACATTTTTAAATTCAGGTCTTTAAAATCAACAGGAAATTTCAAGTGAGTTTGATAAGGATTGTTACCAATACCCATGCCCCAGCTCACCTCCCATGCCATTCTCCCTTCTAGCCTGTTCTCTTTCCCGCTCTCAGAGGCGCACCTTCCACTCTTCGGATGGAACTAGGCTAACCTGTGATAATATGGTAAATTCTTTTGATGAATTATGACAAGCAAGTCCTGATGCTGTTCCTTTTTTCCACATCTTTAATTTTTCCTGGACTTAATAATTGTCTTACTGTTTTCCTGGGTGCTTAGCACTAACTTATCCCCATGTTTCTTCTTTACATAAATCCTGTCACATATTCAGACACATTAGTTTCAACTGCTTGAGGAAGCATCTGTTGGAGCCCATCCAGAATTGGTTGAGAGTCATGTAGCACCTTCATAAACCTTGACAAGAGCACATTGGTGTCCTTCACTTGCCTTTACCCATTCAGATAGGACCCATTGTGAATTGCCACAGCTGCAGCCTCCCTTGGCGGGTAAAAGCAAGGCAGGCAAGTGCAGCTGGAGGCATGGTAGGTTTGCCTTCTTCCAGACTCCTCAGGGATCATGGCATTCCTGAGTGTCTCATTTCACGTGTTTGTGCCTTTTCCTCACAACCTTGCCTGATGTTGACTCTCCCCAGCTCTGTTTTGTGATGTTTTGGACCCCCAACGTCTCTGAGAAGATTTTGATAGACATCATTGGAGTGGACTTCGCCTTTGCAGAACTCTGCGTTGTTCCTCTGCGTATCTTCTCCTTTTTCCCAGTTCCAGGTGAGAAGCGTGCCTAGTGAAATACTATTTCTTTGAAAATGTTTGCAATCACATCACCAACAAAAAAAATAAAAATATCACCCTGGGTTAAAGACATGCAAAGATGTTACCCAGCAGTTTGTAAGTTCAAAAATAAAAAATCAAACAGCCAAAATTTATGTTTTAAAGTTGCAAACACAGTAAAAAGAAAGGAAAGTAGACCCAAAAAGGTAGCATGTGGAGTTTGGGGGACAACAGACCTGCCATGTGTCTTGATTGTGATGCTACCAAACTCTGTGCAAGAGTTACACTTCTGAGATCCATATGCCAAAAGGCCAGTTTCCCAGTATAATTTTAAATGGAAAATAAAAAAGAAAAGAAAACATGCAAACTTATTGCTCAAACATGGAGACAGACAAAGAGAAAGAAAGACTCTTGGAGACAAGAAGAATCCAGGGACAAAGGTGAGGCCAGATGGCACAGGTCAGAAAGGAAAATGCCCATAGGTAAAACATAAGCCAATATCAAAATTACCAACTGATTAAGTAGAATGAGATATATTATAAAAGAGCAAGGTCACTTTAAATTAAATAAAAACTGTGCAATGGTTGATTAGTATGTGACCATTTCTATAAAAAATTTATAGCACAAGGCCAGATATGGTGGTTTAAGCCTGTAAGCCCAGCTACTGGAATAGTAGAGATTGGGAGGATTGCAGTTCAAAGCCAACTCTGGGCAAACCAAGACCCCTATCTCAATCAGTAAGCCAGGTGTAGAGGTACATACCTGTGATGTCAGCTATGCTGGAGGCCACAGATAGGAGGATAGAAGTCTGAGGCCATCATAAGCTAAAACAGGAGACCCTATCTGCAAAATAACTAAAGCCAAAAAGGGCTGGGAGATGGCTCAAATGGTAGGGTACTTGTGTCCTGAGTTCAGACTCCAGTACTTCTAAAGACAATAAGTGTATAGCACTATATGTATATCTGTATTACAATTTCTGTTTCTAGAAGTAATTCATCAAGCTGATAACAGTGACCCTCTGTGGGAAGCAGGACAAGGATCAGAAAATCATGACTGGGAGGGAGGCCTTTGTACTGTATTCTCTCTTGCACTTTTACATTCTGTATCAAGTGCATGTCACCTCATCAAAAATAAATTGCCAGGCCTGGGAAGGTGGGGGGCAGGTAGCTTAGCAGGAGAGTATATGCTCAGCCACATGCGAGATTCTGGGTTCAATCCCCAGCGAAAGAAAGGAAGAGAGGCAGAGAGGAAAAATTATTTGCCAAAAAATCCACATAAATCATTAAAGTTAGAAGCCAGGTTCTATAAAACCACAATTAGGTTAAGATATGAGCTATGGAGCTGCTTCAGGCCAGGGCCAATGGCGCACCCATAGCCAGCCCTGTGCTGTCCGCAAGTTAGGTGAAAAGCAGCCCCACTCAGGTACCAACTGTTCCTGGAGGCCAGGTTTTACTGATGTCACCTTCTGAGCTGTGGCAGGAATGGAGGAACTGATAAAAGGCCATGACAGTGGGATGATGTCTGGTCTTCATTGTATGGGCACTGGGAGCCAAACTTTAGGATGGCCAACCCAGTGGCACCTGCAGGAGGCTACAATTGGAGGTCCAGATGTGTTGTTCATTTAGCATGGTGATGACATAAGGAGAGGCCAGAGAGCCTGGAGAGCCCCAGCCAGGATCAGGCTATCTTTGGGTTTGCCATTCACCTTTAATCTCTCAACTGTGCTTCCCACCTGTGAGATGAGGAACTTCCAGAAAACTTTCAGATCCCATGTACACTTGGCAATCTGTTGGGATGGGGGCCACCAGATTACATGCCTGTGATCCTGTGACCAAATTTCAGTGCATCTGTCTGCGCCTAAAATAAGAAAATGAGCCTCTTCAATATAGCACTTCACCCCTGGGGAAGGCAGGACACTGTGAGACTAAGATAGTAGGTCTGGGGGTACAGTTCAAGAGTAGAGAAGTTGCCTAACATGAGTAAAGCGTGGGGTTCTGATCCTTAGAACAGCCACAAAATGACCAAGGCCGATTTCTGCCTACCAAATGGACTATCCTAGAAGCAAGTTGTTACTCCTCCAGGAGTCTTTGCCAGTGCTGCATGGAGGAGATGAGGGTCCCCCAAGGCCCTTCCAGCTTCAGGTAGACCTTCAGAGCCCTTCTTACCAGCAAGGGCAGAGGCCTGTGCTCTGCACAGTTGTTCATGTGTTGTCCACCTGCACCTTCCTTCACACTCCTAAATCTGGATGGGCAGAGGGGGAGCAGGAACCATGTGCTCAGTCATTGTGAAACAGCAATACTGCGGATGAGTGGTGGCACTGTGTGGGGAGGAGAAAGGGAAATGGCTGGCTCTGGAGGCCACCAGTAGCAGGTCCCTCTCCTTTCCCCCTGCCTCTCAGACAGTGAGAAGGGAGACAGCATCTGGTGTCGGCTTTTCTGCTCACCCAGCATCCACGTTGCCATTTTAATCTAGGTTTTCTCTTCTAAAAGTGGATGGTCAGAGCCAGTCTGGGGGTAGAGATGAAGACTTAACCAGAACCATCATGGGAGCAGGTGGGCTCACCAGGGAGACAGTGAACATTGGGACAAGGCACCTGCCTGCACCTGACCATCTAGACACAGGACTGAGGAGACTGGAAGCCTGGGTGGGAACAGGAGCTGACCCAGCCGGGCTCAGAAGCAGGGATCACCAACCCCGGCAGGAGAATGGGTGACCAATTCAGGGCCACAACAGTACAGATAGGGTCCCAACCAGCCCCTGGGTCTTGAAGGTCCTGCCCTAGGCCAAAGGCAGTAGAACAGGAAGAAGCAGGGCCCAGCTGACAAGTTCTTCTCTCCCCACAGTCACCGTGAGGGCCCATCTCACTGGGTGGCTGATGACACTGAAGAAAACCTTTGTCCTGGCACCCAGCTCAGTACTGCGGATCATCGTCCTCATCACCAGCCTCGTAGTCCTGCCCTACCTGGGGTATGTCACCAGGGAATTTGGGGCTGCCACTTAAGTGCTCTTCTCTAGAAAATTAAAATCTGTACTTTTTGGGTGAAATCCCCAAATGTGTTAGAGCTAGAAATTCAGAAGGATGTTTTGTCTGTCTGGCACCCATACAATACAGGCTCTTGAGGCCACACTAGCCTGTCTACAGGTGCTGCTCAGCAAGCGCCTCCTGAGGTGCAGCAGGCAGGGCTCTAGGCCAGGAGCACATGAGGGAAGGTGAAAATCAGTGAGAGGAAGCAGTCATCCCTGCCCTTAGGCAGCTCCCTGTCTACAGTGAGGGAGATGCCAGCTGGTGAGCAGGGCTGAGCTGATGCTGGGGTCAAGTAGCTCGTGGCCATGGTGGTCCCAGGAGGAAGGCAGCTTAGTCCTGACTGGAACTCAGCAAAGAGAGAAGACCAGTCTTCTGTCCCTCTCTAGCCTGCGTTTATTTTCCTGGTTTCAAGATTGTCAGTTGGGTTTGGCATCAATTCTGTTGTGCCTGGACTTGGCTTTAACAGACAGAACAACTGTGTGTTCTCATCCCCAGGGTTCACGGAGCCACCCTGGGTGTGGGCTCCCTCCTCGCAGGGTTTGTGGGAGAATCCACTATGGTTGCTATCGCTGCTTGCTACGTCTATCGGAAACAGGTGAGAAACAATGGTGACAGCTGCAGTGTCTCCTCCCAAGAGCCAGGAGGCCTGAGTTCATGGCCACACATGTGTAGGGGGTAGCCTTACCTTCATCCCATCCTTCAAGGATCTGTTCACCAAGAGTCCATGGCCACTTGTGTGTATGAGAACCCTGAGGGCCAGAGTCACTTCAGTCAGCTTTTAGTAACAGAACGGGGTTATCACTTTTGTTAGGCACTTATCATAGTGACAAAATACCTGAGAAAAATCAGCATAAGGGAAGAAAGGTTTATTGGCTCACAGTTTTTGTCCATGGTCACCTTAGCGCCATGACTGCTGGGCCAAGTAGTGAGTAGAAGATGTGTAGTGAGGTAGAACACCATGAGGAAGAGCAGATGGTAGAGAGTGGCTCACCTCGTGGTAGACAGGAAGCAGAGTGAGCAAGATGCAGGGACTGGGGACATGAATTACCCTTCGAAGGAAGAAGTCATAAGAATAGACCGGGGAGGCATAGGGGAGCCAGGAGAGAGCACCTGTGCCAATGGTTGGGGGCATTGGTGACCCTGCACAGATGGCCTCATGGTCTGGGAAAGGGTGAGAGCTGGCAGGAGAGTGGAGGGTGAACAGGCTAGCAAAGCAGGCTGTGTACATGAAAGCCCACCCCCAGAGGTGAACATGCAGCTCAGGGTACCCTGTGGCTTCCTCAGCCATGGTGGCCAGGTGGTCAGGCTGAGACTGATGGAGATTTGGGCCTAAGTAAGGTCAGGGTTTTGCCTGACCAAAGAACAGTAGGGAAGGAAGTGACTAGTTACTGAGCATTTCATTTAAGCTGAGGGGAATAGGGAAGTGACATGGAAGACACACATGAGCCACAGTGAAACCATGGAGAGATGAGTGGATTGGGAGCCAGGCACATAGCAGGTGTAAAAAAACCAAAGTGAAAGGAATACACTGTACCCTGTTGTGCAGAATGCAGCCTGGACGCTAATCCTAAACTCCCCTGTTCATGGTTCTGCTGTGGCACACACCTACTCACAGCCTCCCTCTGATGAGTCTAATTTGATCTAGAAAAAGAAGATGGAGAATGAGTCAGCCACTGAGGGGGAAGACTCTGCAATGACCGATATGCCTCCAACAGAGGAGGTAACAGACATTGTGGAAATGAGAGAGGAGAATGAATGAAGCACAGGACACATGACGGGACACTGCAGGGACAGCTGAGACAACACTTCACATCATCTCTTCCCTCTCCACCTCTCCATCACATTTTGTTCCTTTTTTTTTTTTTTGGTAACGAAAGATGCCTTGATTTAAAGGTTTCAGGTCAATTGTCTAGCATACTGGGTATGCTCACACTGATGTGGAGACCTAACAAAAGGTCTTTACTGTCACTTTGTAAACACAACCATGACTTTTGTACCCTGCTTCATGAAAAACCCAAAAGACATAGCTGCCTCTTGGTTGAAGTTTCTACTCCTCCCTGGGACAATCTCCACTTGGAACCAAAGTACTGCGGCTGTGCCATTGCCTCCCAGGCCACAGACTCTTTCCTGTTCCTTTTTGCCTCTTAAGATCATCAGGTTAAAGTGCAGCCCCATTTGATGTGCTTCCCAGTACCATGATACAAGCTGGTGGCCACTTCCACTCCCTCCCACATGCGGCTATCAACTGTTTACCACATGCACATAAAAGGTGGGCAACAGGCTGCAGCCCAGAGTCACCGCTCACCCAGAGGGACAGATGCGTGACCAAGCTGGGCTGGTGTAGGAAATAATCTGTAGAAGGGTTTGTGATGCCGCTGGAGTAGCAAACCGACATGATCGACAACAGCATCTCACTTTGCGTTTTTTTCCTAGCTCTCAGTGAGCTGCTGCTCCCCACCATGTATATACATGAGCTAACTTTGTAAAACTGTCACAAAAGCGTATCTCCAAATGTCAGCTCAGCATCCTTCACGCATGACTTTCCCCAAAGGCTGGCTTTTCACTCTCCTTTCCAGAAGATGGCACTAGAGTGAGTTAAGTAGAGCTTTCTAACTCGCCATTTACTTTTTACAGTGAACAGAAGCTCTAAGTCATAATCTAGCATTCTAATGCCAGGTTGCTGTCTCGTAAACTTCTGAAGTAGATTTATTACCTGGTTCTGCCATTCCTAGTCACAACTCTGCGGTACAGGTAATTCAGAGTGTACTATGGTACTTTCTTCTTACACACCACAAAGCAAGACATTTTATAAACAGTTATCAAAGTCACTATGTGATAGTCCCTGAAATGACACATTGGAAATCCATTTAGCGCAGTATATTTTTCTAAGTTTTGGAAAGCGGGTTTTTTTTCCTTTAAAAAAAGAATTATGGACACAGTTCACTAAATTCTAATTTAGTCAAAATAACTAGACTGAAAGAACCAAACAAATATTTTAAAGATATAAATATATGCTGTATATGTTATGTAATTTATTTTAGGCTATAATACATTTCCTATTTTCGCATTTTCAATAAAATGTCTCTAATATAATATGGCTACTGCTTGCGTGCTCCAAGTCTGCAGCTGAATCCTATTGTACTGATGACCATTGTATCTTATTTGCAGCAGCTTTACAAAGTCCCTTATTTTTTAATGAATGTAGGGCCAGTGAATGACAACAGAACTATTTTTCATAATGGGTAACCCTGGAATAAGTGGGTCCACTGATGTAGACAAAAAGAGATTGAAAGTATAAGTTGGAAGGGCAAAAGGGGGAAAACTGTCAGGCCTTGTTTCAGTGTCTTATTGTTTCAGTGCTGTGTGATCATACCATTCCTAACAGGAAAAAAAAAAAAAAAAAGACTGTAAGGGCACAAAATTGGCTGTGAACATCACAGGGTTGCACTCCCATTTCTGGGTGCCCATTGCCCTTCAGATGTGCCCACCATGGGGACAAGTCCTCACATGCTTCCTCAAAGTGGCTTTTCCTCCATTTACCTACATGAATGCTGAAGACATGTAGCCACTTTGGGGTGGTTTCAGAGGCAGATCTGGAAATATGGTGAGGGGAGGAAAGTCTGATTGTATTGGCTTTTTTAAAGTACATGACTAGAAAATTAAACAGCAGTATTTTTTAACATGTGTGACTTTCGTGCTTCTGGGGTTGGAACTTACAGATTAAACTGAAAAGGCAAAATCCTTTCCCTCTGAATCCAGGAAAGATCAGCTATCAGCGCTTCTCTATGTAATTTGAACATGTGAGTATAACTCCAGGGCTGCTGACCGTGCTAAAGATGAGAGCCATCATGTTGTGGCAGAGTTCCTGAGAGCCCAGGAAGCAACACCAGTCCCAGGCCTCAACTTCGGAGCTGTGATTTTTGCAGGGCTTATGCAAAGTGCAGGCTCCCTCTTACACTTCCTTTTCCTGGGCTGCAGTGTCAAAACCTGACACACATCTGGGCTCCTGAAGCAGAACTTGAGATGGAAGATTCTCCAATTGCAATTCTTGCACCAAGAATTCCATCCTTCAAGTGAGCACAGGGGCACTTCTTCCCACTTTCCAGAGGCATTGGGGCAACCTTTCAACTTTGCCAACATGTTTATTTTTGTACAGTTCATTCAGCTGAGAGATAGATAGATGATATATTTAGAAGGACACCATGCCTATGAGATCCTCATGTCAAGGACTATGGAAAGACCAGGTGTGACTTTCTCAAGGTTACTTGTAGACAAATATAATCTAAAAATACAAGAGCGCTAAGCAGATTTTCATTAAAATGCTGAGAAATGAGTTTGGGCAGTTCAACGCATAGGCTTTCTCTAGTGAGGATTTCCTCTGAATTATCAAAGCAGCCTCATATTTTTTAGGGGTACACAACAGGTCATTCTCAACATGCAGTTGCCATTTGTTCTGCCCCTAGTTACAGGGATCTCATCTATGACACCTGGGAACTGAGCAAACAGAACTAGATGAGGTTTGCTCTAAGTCATGAAAGGACTGGACCTGCCAGCCCTAGAGCTTAGGGAGTACTGAGATTTGCACATTGGCAGAAGCCTTCACTCACTGGAGAATCTTTCACTGGGGCAGATTAAGCCACCTGTTTGTATCACAGGGTAAAGTAACTCCCCTTGCTGCCTGTGTTGGTATTGTCTTCTACCAAAGGTGGTATTCTCCTTTGTTTTGTAGCTTTGGCAGGTGGTTTGACTTGGAAATGTCCTCAGAAACACTTAATATTGGTTTAAGATATATCAGATGAGGGCTAGGAGCACAACTCAAGTGGTAGAACATTTGCCTAGCATGTGTGAGGCCCTGGATTCAATCCAAAGTATAAAAAAAAAAAAATTAGATGAGGCTGAGTAAATCTTTGCAATATTTACAGCTTCATACTTCACTCTTAAATTTTCCCAATAAATACTCTGGGGAGAGAGAGGAGGTAGGGTGCAAGGCCCAGGAGGAAGGGTAGCTGGAGCATAACACAGCACTTTCTGGATCTGGCAGGGTTGGATCAACAAGAGGAAAGTTTACTCAGTTACAGCTTTAGTGAGAAAAGTCAGCAGGTCCCTACTCCCCACCCCTCTTTGTAGCACTGGGCTTTGTACATGCTAGGCAAGCACTGAACTGCTGAGCTCCACCCCAGGCCCTCCCTATTCTCTTAATTGTTCCCTGTTTGAGGAGATTTTCTTTCTTCAGAGGGAACCTTATTTTCTAGAAACACATCCATTTATAGATTCAGTAGTTCCCTTGACTGAATTTTCTCTTCAAACTAAAGCAGAATGAAAATGTGTATTACAAAATAGAAAGTATTTACATTCTTGTAATTAAATTACATAACCTTGAGAAGTTTTCCTATATTTAAAAATCTTTCTACTCAAGTGAGCCTCTGAGTAGACCAGTGCCCAGAACATCATGTGCTGGTTTGTACCAGCCAACCAGCCAGTTTCTGGCCTCTGGCCTTGCAAGAGAGCTAGCCACTAAACCTAACGATGAAAGTCTTCATAGATCAAACCAGTGCACCATCCAGGAAAAGGGCTTTTTCATGTTCTAAGTTCTGACACACACCCCCTTTTGGTAACCAAAGCTGTCATGCAGTCTGTGGTAGGACTCAGAAAGACATGGTCACTCAGTATTGAGCTGTCTGCACTGCACACACGGCCCTCACACGGCTCCTTTGTAAACAGCATTTGAACCATAGAAAAGTATGTTTTTCAGCAATGTGTTTGGTAAACATTGGAGATACTCCTCTTTGTGGTTATTTTGAATCTCTATTTCTGTCATTTGAAGCAGCAAAACATCAGGTGACTCATCAGCTGATCTAACCACACATGAAACAGGATGTAGAGAAAATGTGAAGAAAAATGTAAAAGGCCCTGTTGCCTGGACCTTCAAAGGCTAAATGTCTGAAACACCACACAATATACAACATGAGAGAAATCATATAATATAATCAAAATAACCCAAACTCAACTCAAAACTCAGAAAACAAAACAAATTACATACTTTACTGTCTGATTTCAAAGGGGGAAATGATGAAGAGCTTAAGAGATTTAAAGCTTAGGTTTTCTTTTTGCCATAAGACAGAAGGTTAGGTCTTGTGTTAGCTGCTGCAGATCTCTCCTAGGAAGAGCACAAAAAAAAAAACTTTGTCAAGTCCAAGTATTTCCAGGAAAATTATGATCAATACCTTCAAAAATATTTTAGTGATAATTTTTTTTTCTGCCTCATTGCAATCAACCAGGGTCTCTTAGAAACTGCCTAATATATATGCACTTTTATAGCTTGCCTGAATCAGCAAATGTTTTTTACGCGCTACCTCTTTTTAATATAACTCCAAGTGCACTTTACTAGCAAGACTTGGCATTAGCTTCCATGGAAGTATGTTTTTAAACCACAGTGCCAGACACCTAGGAGCATTTGTCTCCAGAATAAAAAAGAGTTCCTTAGGTTAAAGAAGGGAGGAGATGGGGATGGACAGCTAAAACTGGTTGTACCCACTCACTATACAACATCATGGAAATTCACTGACATAGAGACTAGTGAATACTACAATATTTAGAGGCAGTTGTTCCCCACCATGAGTCTGCAAACATGTATGACCAGCCAGGTGGACTCTGGTTTCCTGCAGGACGGGGCTGTGAACTGCAGAGACCCACGGTTTGAACAAACCACCTCCTGAAGGCAAAGTTCACACCATCTCTCATTTCAAGGCAGGTTCAGGGTTGTATACCCCATCACCCAGCACCAGACATATCACCATGAAGCAGGCCCGTTACCCAGGGCTGCCACATCCATGAGGCTTGTGGTGGCAAACACCTTGTTCCTTGGATTCAGTGACGTACTTTTGGCTTGCTTATTGGTGTTTCGATATGTGATTATCTAAAGCTTGTATGACCAAGGAGTCAAAAAGCTTCAGAAAATCGAGAGTCACACACAAGATTCTGCCCAATACCAACACACCCGTGCTTACTCACTGAAGAGTTTCCAACCTGGAGTCCTTGCTAGAGCACAGCATGACTTCCACATCACTTCTCTGGCCACACTTTGCTAAGGCACCTTTCTCATCTAGCCCTTTATGATAATCCAGTTTAAGAACATGATCTCCAACAATGGGAAAATAAAATTAACTCATTCTTCACTTCAGATCTGAACAGCAGCAGCAATCCTGGGTTTTATTTTTTCTTTTAACAAGATTAAATCTACTGGGAATCATACACTACGGCTGTCAGTTTACAGGTTTTTCCATTTCACTTCAGAATTCTGGGTTTAAACTGTTGACACCAATCACATTAAAATTTTTGTGAAGCCTTTGATTCAAACTAACTGCAGAGACAAATATAACAAGTGCTGTTAATGTATTTAATGGATGTAAGTTTTGTCACTGCTCAGAGGATTTAAAATGCTTATTTTGTTTCAGAGGGTACAGAGGTACTTTTTTGTACCCATACACTGTCAAAGGTTTCCTACTCTAATTTTGCTGTAAGTAAAGGTTAAACATTTGTCATATACTTGAGATTGCTTTTAGTTTCTTGATTTTCTTATCCTCACCATTTGTTTACATACCACAAAGGCACTTGATATCCTAATCCTGACATTTTTTTTTTTTTTTGAGATACTAAAATTTGACCCTTTGCCTTACCAGGTAAAACCAAGAAATACCTTGGGATATTTCCCTTAACTCCTAGTCTTAAATAGAACCTATTTCATCTGATTTGATTCTGTATTAAAATCACTTTTACTTCTACATAGCTTCAGTAATACTGAAAGTACTTATCTGAACCCTCTCTGAATTCTCTACCCTTTTCCTAAAGTGAGAATCCCAACATTAGTCACATTGGCTGAGTCTGAGAAGAATAGAGCCTAAAACTCCTCCTGTCCATATCTGGGAGTCTTGCTCTTAATCAGTTTTTATGTGAGAAGAATTACTCTTTTTAAAATATGACATCTTAACTCAAAGATGGCACTCACCTTTCCAGCTTCTTCATACTAGTTCTTTAATACGTAAGATTTAATCCATAAAATTATAAATGTCCTACTAACTTGCTACAGATTATGTTTTCTTTTCTTCTGCTGCTTTATTACATCTTTTTAGTTAAAAATCCAGCTCTTAGTCCTACCTCTATTGTGCTTTTCTTACATACTAATCACAGTTTTGTTTTGTTTTGTTTTGAGATAGGGTCTCAATACACAGCTCAGGCTGGCCAGAAACTTGTAATCCTCCTGCTTTCGCCTCCCAAATGCTGGGATAATAGGCGTGCATCACCACACCCAGCTGTTTTTGAAGTTTTAAGAGGTCATCGTCATTGCTTTCACCCACAGTATTGGGGCATGTATGTCTTCATGCCTAGCTAGTGTCAGAGTGGGTTCTGTTCCTGGCCACCTTAAAGACAGTAAGGGGGTATGTCACCCCAAGCAGAATTTCCCCCCTGGGAAGTGGTGCTACCATGGTGGGGTGGTGAGGGGAGCAAGTCTGCACCCTCCCCAGTTCCCCCTGACATCTCTATTTAGAGGAGTTACATGTATCAACTTTTCCATGACCTCCATTCCTCTAGCAGGGTCCCACCCTGACAACACTATTTCCACATAGCTCTCACTTTGTTCTTTCCTGTGTGCCTTGTGGTCTCACTAGCTCACATCAGGAGAGAATCTTGAGTGTCTCCAGGATCACAGACACAACCATCCTCTTCTGAGTTCCCCTTGCTAACAATATCAAAAGCAACACCGGATGGGGGAAGGCAGGTACTACTTGTATCCTTCATTTTCCGCCAGGATCCCCAGCTTGACCCAGCAGTTTTACCTGAACAGCATAAGCCAGTAAGTATCATGCTAATTTTACAGCTCAATATTCTGATCTTTGAACAAAAGAAAAAATTAAGTCAGGAGCTTTGAGTCCTCATTCTGTCCCTGCTGCTTATTAGCCATGAGGCAGGCAAGTGACTGGTGCCCCCTGGATCAGCCTTCGTACTCAGGGGCAAGATCTTTCCTAGTTCTAATTGTACTGTGACATCGGAATCTACAGATCATGATCAATCAATGGCAGTTCAAAAGTCCATGGTGCCACATCTGCTAAGTTTCCAAGCCTCAGGGAAGCACCTGAGCCAATGAATCTATGAATACTTGGGGTTGCCTTCAACAAAGAAAAATGACTAGAGCTTTCAAGGAACAAAGCCTAATCTTATCTCAGATTCAGAAACCCCTGAATCCAAAGACCAAAACAGAATCAATAAATGGAGTAATTCTTTTCACTCTTTGCTGTAGGCCTAAGATTACCCTCAGATCTTCCACTTGATGAACGGGGAATGCTCTCTTGGCCCAAGTAGAGGAGAGCTGGCCAGCTCTTCCCCAGCCATTAGGGCAGAGGCTTGCAAGCCCATGGTGATGGAGCTCAAAAGTGCTTCCTCCACCTTACCTGGCAAGGCTGCATCCTAATCCAGCTGTCCTTCTACCCGTTCCCAGAGCCACTGTGCTGCTCACTGCTGTTTAACAACACTCTCTTTGGAAAAGAGTAAAAAACGGTCCCCAGGCCTCTCCCACCTTAGTTGGAAATCCAGCTCTACATACTCCTGGTGCCCTGACTTGGGCCTCTTTCCATTTCTAACACATACTGGGAACCCCAAGTCTGCTTTCTGGTCCTGACTTGACAAGACAGCCAACAATTAAGTTGTAGCTCTGACTCTACAAAGATGGGATGTTTTAATTTCTGAATTAGAAAGGTGCTACAGTTTGACTCTTCAGTGTCCTCTCCCAACCCTCCAAAGGCCCATGTGTTGAAGGCCAGGTGCCTGGTTAGCACTACTGGAGATGAAGAAACCTTTAAGAGGTGGGCAATGAAAGATCTTTAGGTCAGTGGTGGGCATTCCTTCAAAAGTGATTCTAGAACACTGGTCTCTTCTTCCTCTTTGCTTCTTGGCCATGAAGTGAGAAATTTGGTTCCACCACATGCTCCTGCCATGATGTGCAGTGTTGCCACAGGCTTCAACAAAGTGAGTCCCCGATCATGGGTTGAAACCTCTAAAACTGAGCCAAAATAACCCTTTTCTCTTTGTAAGCTGATTATCCTGGGTATTTGTTACAGTGATAGAAAGCTAACCCAAATAGTATCTGGCAATTTAGGATGACAATCAGCTCTATTACCCCAGAGTGTTCAGTCGGCAATGTCACAGGACATCAAGTCGAGTTTTCATTGAGGAGTAGGGGAAGAAGTTCTGCACTGAAGTCATCCTGAACAACAGAAGACCAAACTGCTTTGTAATTCCATCCCTGGGGTCATGCTAGTTCAGCTCATCTATTATAAATGCACAAAAGCTCTGAAAAAATCAGGGAGGGAGGGAGAGGGTGGGAGAGGGGTTTGAGAGGGCCCAGCCTCAGCTAGCTGATCTTTGCTTCCCATAGCTCAAAATCACAGTTGGCCAGAGCAGGCAGTTGATGATGGACCATGCCATTTGGACCTTCCTCCCCTCAACATGTTCTGGCCCCACACACCTGTGCCACAGCCCTCTTTATCTCTGAAGAAGGCCAAGCCACCCAGAAACTAAGATAACCTGAGTGAGCTCATGAGCATCTGTTACTTGCAACAAAAGGGCCAACAGGATTCCCAATTACCCCTCTGTCTGCCTCCCATTCTCACTTCTCCCAAACCTACAAAATCTCTCTTCTATTAAATAGATATAAAAACCAAAGGTAGTTAGAAAATTAACTGATGGACAAAGGTAATGAACAACTGAGTCCCAGAAAATGACCAGCAAATGGCTTATTCAAATGAAAGTATGACAACTTTACTCAAGTAACGGAATGCAAACCAAACTTCCAACTATCAGCTTGGCAAAGAAAATGCTCCTGTTGGAAAGGGCCTAAGGGAACTGGTCCTCACACTCTCCAGCAGGAATGTAAATAAATGGAACTTCTCTAGAACTCAATTTGGCAAGATTCTTAAGCACACACTCAACTAGGGAAAGAGATTAATGTTCTGGACAAAGAACAAAAACAAGAAATTAAATCCAGACAAAAGGCAGAAGTAGGAGTAGGAAGGTGAGAAACAACTCTAACTGCTGGAACAATTTCCAAACTTGGAGCAAAACAGAAGTGGGAATGCACGGCATAAATACCTGCTCATTTTCAACACATAAAATGCAGCTGGTATTGTCATCTGATGATTGTAAGGACTCCTCCATAAGACCCACAACATGGACCCTCTGGTCTTCCACTTCCTAGGGTGGGAGAAGGCCAGTGAAGAGATGCAAGAAACATTGCCCTCAGAGATGAGCCAGGCACATAAACTCAGACAAGTAGAGGGGAACACTGAAAAGGCTGAGTAATTCAAATGAATTGAAAGAGAATGGTTTGTTATTGTAAATTTATCATGTAGTGTTTTTTTTTTTTTTGCCCATTACCAACCTAGCACTGCACTTGAGAGATGCCCCCAATCAGTGGGTCCTTCAAAGCCCTGCACTATTTTGCAAAAGATCCCCAGACTCAGTGCTAACAGGAAGTCAGATCTCTACTGGTTCTCCATTTCCTATTCCCAAGAGACCTTTGAAAATCTTGCCCCATCTTTGGATTATTAACTTCTTTCAGTGAGTCAGACTTATACACAACATATATAAGTTCTTGTGACTACATTTCCAGGTACACTTCCAGCAGTCACAATGGTTCACAGAGATCTAAGAATATACTGCACACAACAGGCCTCTCCTCAGCAAAAACACAGCAAGGCTGGGTCAGGATTGTGGCTGGAGCCCTGCTATGTGGGCATCTTCCTCCAAATCTGTTACATGCTGGCACCTCACTTAATGCATACTATCACCTCAAACAGACTGTGCATGGTTGAGATGAAGCCATGAGATTTAAGAAGTGTCAGCAATTTATCCAAGCTCATCTTGCTAATAGCAGCTGATGTTCAATACAGACCCATATCCATAACTGTGTGCCTTTTCAGAGCCCTTACTATGGGTCGGGCACTGGGCTAATCACTTCATCTCATCTAACTATGCAGCACTCCCCAACAATCCCGCCCCAAACCTCCATTCCTCCACCTACCAAGGGCAAGGTGAAGTCAAGAGTTGGCTTCTGCACATCCCAGGCCAGCCTTGGGATGCTGGAATGCTAACTCATGAATCACAATCTGCCTAAGTCCTCAAAAGCATGCATTTAACCACAGTGACACAGCCAGTTTTCTGAGTTTTATTTTCTAAGTTTATTTTTAGTTATTTATTTTTCAGCAGTCAGGTGTGCTAAAGAGGATCAACAGCAAAACCCCAGAGTAGGTTCAACCTCTGACAGCAAAGACAAGAGATTCAGTAAGTGACATAAGAAACTCTGCCCCTAAGCCAGGCATCTGGATGAACCTGCAGATAGGAATCAAGGCTCCAAACTGCCCAAAGCCTCAGAGGCATTTTCCGTAACAGATGAGTATGTTGACAAATGCTGCAAATGCTGCCTTCTTAACAATGACAACAGAAAAGTTGCGAAACAAGCCGGGAGAAGCACAGCCATCATTCAGTGTGCAGTCCCTTCATGATGGATTCCCCAAATGCCATTACCACTGGTAGAAATTCTAAAGTTTGGTTGTTTTCATAACACAGAAAGCTAGAATATGCTAAAATGCAGGTAACAATACCAAAGCAGTTTTATAAACACAATGGAAATGAGAAGGGAGTTTATTAAATATATTCACTTTGGCTTTGCTCCCATACTAAAATACTCAGAAGTCATCAGCATTACAGTGGATTGCTGCAGTTCTTGTAAGGGGTCCACATTTTCAGCACCATTTATATGAATATAGACCAAGGCAATTTTTGCTATATAAACGGAAACTCCTAAACTTAAGTACAAAAATTACTTCGAAGTTCAGCATTAAGCTCGAGCACCTACAGTTACTGGGGAAATGATTACCAAGAACATGGATCATTTCAACATCAGTGCCCCTCCTACTAGTAGCCCATGCTTTGGAATTTCATTCCTGACTTAAACTTAACAGAGATAAAACTCCAATCTGTGTCCTCCACCACTGTTATTTAACGGTCCAAATGGGCATTTAAAATGTTTAAATATACAGATGGCTATGAGGCCTAGGAATAGACACATATATAATAGATGGCTGGTTGGTATGTCATTTCAATACAATTAATGTTTTCAGAATGAGTGGCTACCCTATTTTAATACATACATACTAACTTATTCTATCATTCCCAATAATAAATTTTGATTTACCAAGAAAAAAATATAATTACATGGAACAGTTGCCTCTATCCTCCTGAAATACAACTAGGTCCCAAGCTGCAGGACTGCATGTAAAGAAAGGGATACTGTAACTGCAGGCTAGCATGAGCATATCCATACTGCTCTCTATGGGTCAAAGGCCAAGCCCACTGTGTTCTAGCATACTGATATCCCAGAAAAGCCAGGGGCTGGCAGGCAGCTGAGCCACTTCAATTTGGTGCTTTTCATGGCTCCAAATTATAAACTGAATTACAAGAACATTAACAATCAGCTGCCCATGTCTTTACTCACACATTCACAAACCACTGCTCAACTCCCTCATCTCTCCACCCCCTTAGAAGAGATTGCAAACAAAGTTTTGCTCATAAACAGGGGACATAAATTTTAGAAAAGGGAATTTATATGCATGTAATTCTTCCCATTCAGATTTTCGTTCTTTTAAACTTAAGCACAGAAATTCTCTTGAACATCTGTTGTTTTGCTTTTCTATAACATTTTAAAGTTTATTGTAAAATCAGTTCCTCCTTCAGTTCACTTCTCAGTTCCTTAGACCATTTTTAAATTACCTGATATTAGGCCCTGCCTTTGCTAAACTATTTGGGGATTCTGTTTCATATACATTTCATATAAAAAGAAATACATTTCTTTTTATTATTTTTTAGTAGTCACGGATCTTAATAAAGGCATTTATTTTAATGCATACCTATAAGCAAGATTCTTCAATGGTTTATGCTTCTGGAAATACTTTGTGGCCTTCAAAGGGAAGTACCTACAAAGCATTACTTAAGAGAATGAGATAGGAACCTAATTAAACTGTATTTTAACAGTAGACATGCTAGGAAGTCTACATCAGTCCTATGTACCTGTTCAGATGGTAGAAGTGCTATGTCATTTAAGGTGATACAGCACTTCAGCATTATCTTCAAAAGGCAGACTACTGACTGACTCTTAGATAAAATAGCACCTCAGGATGAGGGGAAGCACAGGAAGAATACCACAGAACTTCTTACCAAAAAAACATAAAAAATATATATATCATATATCAAGCACATTAAAGCTCACAAACATTTCTTCCAAAAGAGGTTTTATCCATTCATGTGGCCTAAGATTTTACTTGAAAAGCTCTAAAACTAGAGGGAAAAAAATTAACTAAAAGAAACAAAAGGTGATGTCTGTTTTCCTTAATCAAAAATATCTCAGACATTAATTGTATATATCATAGTGCAATAAAAGTATAAGTGGCTATATATATATAAAAAGATTAATCCTGTTCTGTGCACTCACAACATTTTCTTATGCTATATTCTTCTAAGGAAAAACTGTAAACATTTGATCAAAACCACATAAGCCCCAGTTCTAAGTTAGAGCACATATGTGGGTTTCTCATCTCACATGCCAGCATGAAGATCCGAGGGCATGAGTGAACCCAGCAGATTTTATATATCTGAAGCTCAAGTAAGGAGGAGAATCTGAAAACGTGAAAGAGCAACATTACATCTATGGAACATGATACAGAGAAATTATACCCTGATAGTATCACATACAGGAACAAGAGAAAAACATGCAATGTAAACAATTCAGCTGCTCAGGTCCAGTTCAAGTTCACTAAGACTAGACTATTTTCAAAGTGCAGATAATCGTTAAAATTTAATAGTGCATATGAACCAACGGTCAGATTCAATGTACCCCAAGGGTTCAGACCGCCACTGACTTTTATTATCTATTTCAAGTTGTGTTTTCAAAAATGAATGGTGAGCTTTTCTTGTTGTATAGTTACAAATACTAAAATGAAGTGTCAAAGTCAATAAGAAGTCATTAGTATTACTTAAATTTTGGCTTCTAGGTACCTCCTTATTCAAGGCACCACTGCACTTCACAGTGAAAAACACAAAGCCTCTCTAATGTATTCACACACATTTAGAGCAACACTGTAATCAATAAACATCTAGCAAAGTGTGATGAACATTACTAACGAGGCAATGGGAAAATACTAAAGTAACAGCCTGAATAGTTGGTATATCCTGAGTTGTCTTAACTAAGACTTCATTTTTAATTAAAAGCAAAATTTACATTTTCAAAGGTCTGTCCCTCCCCCCAAAGCAGGTTATATAGCTTATAAACTATATTAAATTGGATCGAATATTTTAATTATTATAAAATAAGCTTAGTACTTCAGGGAAACACCACCTCCACAATGTTGAACCCATTCAGGTGCTGCTGACAGAATCCTAAAGAGTGATATGTCTGGTTCACTGTCACGAACAATGACAACACAGGCCCTAAGGAAGACCATGTTCAACACAGCTGCCTATCACCAATCCCAGTCACCATGCTAGTCTGTGCCAACCAGGTCAATGCTCACAACAGGACTTCCCAAGTCAAATCAAGGGCACTAACAGCTCAGCACACTTCTGCACTTACATTTACTACATGCTTCGGCTTCAACTCACTCATGAAAAGTCTGTTTGCTGCTACTGATCCCATCATCAGATGATGGATTTGGCAATGGAAATTACCTTAAACACAGCATGAAAAGGGCACAGAAAGACTGAGGCCAGCTCGGCCCCACTTATTAACTGAGATCAGTGACTGACATCATCTGGCCTTGGTTTCCACCTCTGAAAATACAGGTATATATAAATTGTTATGACTATAAGATTGAGACTCTTTGGTATTTCTGAATATACTACAGCATCCGTGTAAGCAGCTTCTTCATGCTGACAGGGCACCACCCATACAAGCTCCAGACATCTGTCACAGTCACACAGAGCACAAAAGTCTAGGTTCCTCTGCCACTCCTTCATGCATCTCCTCCAGCCTTCAAAAAACCCACTTGAGGACCCAATCTTAATCTTCTAAGAGACAATCTCCTAAAATACTATTAATATGCAAATCTGAATCACTGCCCACCCCCCACAAGTAGATCAGACTATCAGAAGATATTATGACTGCGCCATTAATAAATCCATCCTACAACTCTACCACTTAAGCAGATCACGTAGGACGAACATTACAGAGACCCATTACCACCACCAAAAAATTACTGTCTTTTTTTTTTAAATTAAAAGCCAGTTTACCATTAGAGACAATTTTGATTCCATTAGAGAGCATTTTAAACATATTTCTCTCCAAAATGAGTTTCCTCTGATACAAAAATATTTGCCTTATGGAGATGTAGTTTGTACCTTCCAAAAGCAATGCTCTAAAGGCCCCCTGAAATACAATGTAACAGATGAGGGAAAAGACTTAGTTAATTCTTATTATCAAAAGATAAGTCTTCAGAACATCCTAGTCCAACAGGGCTCTCAGGGGCCCGAGAGTTCTCACAGACCTGCAGGTCTGAGGCCCACACCAAGGAGCTGCCTGTGCACCTGTGCTGCATCACAAGGCTGTCCAGGTACATGTGTCTCTCATAAACTTGTCTCCTCACACACTCTGACAGGGACATTATAGTGCCGATCATCCTCTGCAATGAGGGTCACCACTGGCCAGTCCTTGGGTGGGTCAGTGGGATAGACTGTGATGAACTCTTCAGTGTTGTACTTGGATAGCCGGTACACCTGGATTGTGTGGCGCACAGCATAAGCAAGAAGAAACATTTCAACCTGAGAAGAAAAGACAAATGAGTATTCTGGACAAAGCCACACTGAAAGATGGCCTAACATCTATCAGCTCTATCCCATACCTCAGACAATGCATTGCAGTGCCTAAACTGCAACTTTTTTCCTACCCTCTGGGCTCAGCCCCAATTCTTTTCTATGCAAAAAAAAAAAAACGAAAAGAGGGGGCAGGTAATCAAGAATGGAACATATGTTTGTTAAGGAACCTGTACCTAGAAAAAAGAATGCTAATAATTCAACAATTAAAAAAACAAATTATCAGTTTAAAAATTGGGCAAAAGACTTAAAGGCCATTTCTCCAAAGAAAATACACAAATAGCTAACAACCACTTGGAAATATGCTTAATGTAAGGCCTCAGAGAAAAGCAAATCAAAACCACAATAAGCACCTCATTCATACTAGAATGGATATGATCAAAAGATGAAGGCCAAGTGTACCAGCTTAAGTCTATAGTCCTAGCTACTTGAGAAGTGGAGATCAAGAGGATCTTGGTTCAAGGCTAGCCAGGGCAAAAAGTTTACTAGACCCCATTCAACCAAAGGCTGGGCACAGTAGCGATGCACCTGTCATCCCAGTTACATGGGGAAGAACAAATAGGATTACAGTCCAGGCTGGCCAAGCCATATGAGAGACCATTATGGTCTCTCATAAAGTGAGACCCTACCTCAAAAATAATCAACACAAAAGGCTGGTAGAATGGCTCAAGTGGTATAGCACCTGCCTAGTATTTGAGGACTTCATGTGGGTGGTGGTCACAGTACTTGAAACGTACTATATAACAATGAGTTATACATTTTAATTTATGTTAGGTAACTCATCTCACTTTTTTAAAAAAGACAGTAGAAGTGTTTGTGAAGACGGGGAGAAATGATACACTGATAGTGGAAATGTAAAATAGTGCAGCTTTTTCTTTTTCTTTGCAGTGTGGGGATGAGGCTCAGGTCTCACACATGCTAGGCAAGCACTCTGCACTGAGCTATATCCCTAACCCAATACAACTGCAATTCCTCAAAATCTTAAAAGAATTACTATCTGCTCCAACAACTCTACTCTTAAGCATATACTTAAAAGAAATATGTATCTATGTGAAAATTTTGTCCATAAATGTTCAGTGGACTCACCACTATAGCAGACTTTGTTGGCTCTCAGAAAGAGTAACTTCAGCCTAACACAAACCATGTACTTCTAGGCTTTTTACTGCAAGGTATTTGCTATAGTTCAGGAGACATAAGTAACCCACACTGTGAATACAGATAATTCAATTATCATCAATCCTGTCTCGCACAGCCAGGACCAGCTGTTTCCTAGGATGGCTCAGAGAGGAACCCAACTCAGCTCTATTCCTTACAGTATCTCTCCTGGCACTTGGGGTTTTTAAGAGAAGCCAGACACAAGAGTCTACAGGAAGGTAGCAGTTTGGATGAACAGCCTTAGTGTTACTTTTAGTGGCTGGCTACTAAAAAAAAAAAAAAAAAAGACAAGACTTCTTAGGGAAATGAACACACCAGAGTTGAACAAGGTATGGTGACTCAACTTCTGGTGATAAGGGATAGTAATATACCAGATATCTATGTACATTCCAAACTTAGCATATTTATAAAAGACAAAGAGAGACTAAGCTGTATTGGCTAGAGCTGTCAGGAGTAAGCAAGACCCTGCAAATGGTTCTTCCAAGTGCTCCATTTATTTGAAACCTCCCAGAGAATCAAGGATACTAGTCCTTCCCACTACCCTACAGAAGAAAGCCCAGGATGCCTAACAGTGGTTGTTATAAAATACGTCCACATATCTCTAATATTCCTCACTGGAAAAGATGTCCAATTTCCCTCCCCTTGACAGTGAAATGGACTTATGGATTTAGTGACTGACTTTTAACAAATAGAATATGGAGTAAGTTTTTTATACACACACACACATATACACATGTGCACACATCTGTGTGCCATTAAGTGTGTGATTTCTAAGATTAGCTCATCATGGTTTCCTCCTTGTTCTCTGCTTGGATCACTCTGGGAAAAGCCAGCTGTCATGTCATGAGGGCATCCAAACAGCCCTAAGAAGAGCCACATATGCTAAGGAACTGAATCCTCCTATCAATGAGGAACTGAGGCTTCCTGCCCAGAACCTCGGAAGTAGATCCTCTAACCCCAATCAAGACTGGGGCCCTAAACAGCATGAGACTCAGACCCAAAGAAGCTGCTCCTGAATACCAACCAATAGACACTATGAGGTTATACCTGACCATTAAAGGGCCTACGGCCTGAGGTAACTTATTCTCCGAGGCATAACTCACCTGTTCTAGGCCACCAGTGTGCCCCACCTGGTTTAGATGGTTCCTCAGCAGCTGTCCAGGGTCATTTGATGTGTCCCGAGCAAACAGGAGCACAGAGAAAAAAGGTACTTCCTTTCCCTTCTCTTTATCATCATAGAGTTCAATAGCTCTATTTAGCATTAGAAATTTTACTGCTTCATAGAGGCTGTATTCCTCTTCTTCATTTGTGAACAGTTCATCACAAGCTATCTGCCTTGCTTCAGCAGTTCTCATTTCAGCCAGGCTTGCCCACTGTAATAACAAAGTTGTAATAATCAGAATTTTTGTTCTAAAAATTCCTGGTATACCTCCATACTATGAGGACAAAAGTAGAGGACCATGGGTCACATCCCAATGTTTCAAGTTTCCAGCTCAAACAATGGTACTTTTTAGACCACACAACCTCCTTATCCAGTTTTTTATCCCATGAATTTGAAATGGAAGTACAATGCAATAAGGAGTTGCACTGGGGCTGTGGAATGGAAATTCTGACTCTTCTAAATTCCCAGGCAATGAGAGCAAACCAGACAGTCAAATACTAAAAGGATAAATTTGTGTGCAGCACTATGAATACAGCTACAATTACTCCACTGCTTGATGGGCTTTCAGAAAGTTACCTACAGAAACATACAGCTAACCCTCCAAAATGGAAGACAGACAAGGAAAACTGTGGGGTCTCCTGAATACTGGCTTACTAAACTGACCTTCCCAACCTCTTAAAAATATACATGAGCTTCAAATGAATAGATCCATTCAAAACTTCTTATTAACCTCCTGATTCAGAATAAGGCAGAGGGTAAAATTTTCATCTTAACACAGCCAACTAAGTGACCAAAAAAAATTCCTCTTAAGTTAACAATGAACAAGAAAAGAGATGTAAACATAAATACCTTAAAGTCACTAATCAGCATTCACTTCAAAAACCTTTGCAGATTTTTAAACATAAGAGTAATCATAAATGATAATGACTACACAGAACTCTGACACTTGAGTTGAAAGGTAGAACATCTTGTCCACACATCTCATAATTTTCTAGAAGTAGACCAAGCTGGCAGTTAAGTGCTTAGGCCTAGAGTCAAAAAGTCAGGATGGAATTAAGGTTTGGTTTTTGCAGGTTATTTAAGCAACCTCTGGACCTTACTTTCCTCATCTACACAATACAAATAACCACAGCAATACCACTTTATGGTTGTGAGAATAAAGCAACATGTGAAACTTTTGGTGTGAAGTATGGCATTATTAATGAATAATTTTAGTGTTATTATAAACGGGTATCACTTAAACACTCCCCCAGTGAGGGTCTAATTACAGTAGACATACCTAATAAAGCAAACATAGCAGTATCACCAGACCTTAAAAAATATGAAAAGGAAATTGTGATCAGAAGCTCAGCTAAAACGCTCTCCCACTGCTCAAGGCTACAGCCCTGTACTTATCCCATCACTAACCCAGGAACTGGGTAGGAACAGGTCTCTAGTCCCCCAAAATTCCATGTTCCACTCCAATGGGTAATGAGAAAAGAATCCCTCCCTCTCTCCCCCTCTCTCTCCCCCTCCCCCTTCTTTATAGTGGAAAATAAAACAACTACACATCTTTTGACAGCAGATTTCTGGTAAACATTACTTATCTTTGTATGTACAAACCAAGTTTGAGGAACTCAGGGCTCTCAGTTTGCACATTCAACAAAGCATTTACCAAATGCCTATTATGTGTCAAGGCTGGTGCAAGGCACTGGCTGCAAAGGAATAAACAGGACAGTCTCTTTGGTAGCTGAAAGTCCAACAAAGGCAGAAAGAATGAACTTGAACAAACAGGTCAGCATTTGGGGTACATGCTACGAATGACCTCAAAAGTCCATGTCTGATCCCTCCTGGCCTACAACAACCTTCTCTATCAACAAAGCCTGGAACAGCTAACAGACCCTCAACTCAGGGTTCTTAATGAGTAGAATGCCAAGCAACCTAGAGGTTAATGTAGGCCCATGTGAAAGCAGAATGTCCAATCCAGAGCAGACAGGAAAACACAGAAAGGTAGAATTTTATACACTAAATCAAGGGGAATTAAAAGACAAAGTTTTGCTGGGTGCCGGTGGCTCACACTTATAATCCTAGCTACTCAGGAGGCAGAGATCAGGAGGATTAAGGTTTGAAGTCAGGCAGGCAAATAGTTCAAGAGATTCTATCTTGGAAAAAACCTTCACAAAAAAAGGGCTGGTAGAGTGGCTAAAGTGGTAACAATGCCTACCTAGCATTGTTGAGGCCCTGTATTCAAACCCCAGTGCCAAAATAAATATGTAAATAAAAATAAATAAATAAAAGACCAGTTCTTCCTGAACTGTTTCAGACAAACCCTCAGGACAGTTTTCAGAAGACAGGATAATAAATTTGCTTGCTGGGAAATAGTAAGTCTTTAATATATGTATGGAGAAACTCTTAATTTATAAGAATTTAATAAATGTGAATTAGTATCACTGGTAAGTATGACTATATGATATCCCTGAACCTTACAAATATGACTAAACAATGACAACATTTGTTAAGGTCCCCTTTTAAGAAAGCTAAACATTTCAGGCTGAGTATGGTGGCACACATCTGTAATGTCAGCTACATGGGAGACAGAAGTAGGAGGACTGCAATCTGAGGCCAGCCCCAGGCAAAAAGCACAAGACCTTATCTAAAAAATAAAACAAAACAGCTAGAGGCATGGCTCAAGTGAAAGAATGCCTGCCTAGTCAGTGTGAGGCCCCAAGTTCAAGCCCCATCCTCCGAAAAATATTAGTATTTCATCATCTGTTATAATAGTGCATAGTAACTCCTCCAGAATATATAATGTTGACTTTTTTCTCCATTTTATCAGACTTCTTGGGAAGAATTTGTGCTCATTTAATAACCTGAAAATCCACTAAGTACAGACTAAGAGCTGGTCTGCTGGGCAATAGGAAGGGAGCTTTACACTGAGCACAGACAGGGAATCACACACTCCAAACCTTCTTCCTTAGCAGGGTGAGGGACTCCTTAATTTTTTCAACCAGGTCCTTGCTCTTCCCATCGAATTTCAGTCCAAGTTTCCATTGCTTGATCCAGCTATATTTGCTCATCAACTTTTCTGGTAACTAGAATATCAAGAAACAGAAATAGAAAGGGGTCAACATTTCAAGAACTCTATCACATGATCCAAGCTGGAAGAAACCATGAAGCCTACCTTTATTTCTAGAATTAATTCCTGCAAGTCTGTCATGTGGGTTTAGGATGGAGGACCTAAATCTGGAAGTCAGGAATGTAGATAGTACTAGCATGCAGAGGCTGCTGGAGTGAATGGTGCTTTTAGTTGAGATTCACAGATACAGGCAAGCCTGTGGGTCACCAACCATGGCCAGGGACACCCCACAGCAATCCTAACGCTAAGCTAAGGCAGTAGTCACACCACCAGTTTTTTTACACAGACCACTTCTAGTTTCTGGGTTCACAGGCAGCCTCCTTAGCAATCCCTAATGCAGAGCTCACGTAGGTGCTTCTAGGTACAAGACAAGGTCTTCATGTGAAGACAAAAACCTAACTTGTTTTTTAAAAAATCCACTGAAAAACACAGAAAAGATCTTGTTAAACGATATGAACACACATACTCAGTTTTAACATCCAAAGAAACAACACTGTTATAGTTTTATTGCCAAATCAGCACAGTAAGATAAAAAGGACAAGTGAGAATCTGTAGCAGAGGTTAAGGGAGTAAGGGGGCAGTGCCCTTCTCACTCTTGAGTGTAACTGCTAAACTACTACTGTGCTGATTTCCTTTTTTTCTTTTCTTCCTGGTACCGCCCTAAGTACCACTTATCAATAGAATCATGACTTTGAAAGGCAATCTAGCCACAACTTGACCAATGGCAATGTGGAAAATCAGACTTTCCCCCACAGTCCTGAGTATGTTAAGAGAAAAATCATACATTTAGGCTTGGCATGGGCAAGTCACTTCACTGCTATAAAATTTAGAGGGAAAAAAAGTTCACATCTGAATCAAAAGATCATTAAGTTCCCCAACATCTTATGTTGAACTTGTTTAACAGTTTATAAATACAGTTTTAAAGTTCTACAGTTCAGTTCTACTGAAATCTAAGCCTCAGAAACCCTTTCATGAATGGTAATTCTCATTGTACCTTCTCAGTCTGTAGCCACCATGTGAAACTAAGATGGTTTCATCTCTACCAAAAAAAAAAAAAAAAAAAAAACGACCACACTAAGGATGTAAATTACTCTTTCTCTGACCACAGTGACAGCGACCTACCTCTCTCACTAAGGAGTGGAGGGGTCAGGTCCTCCTGGCTTTTTGGCCACACTGTCCTACCTTTCAGCAACATGTGGCAGGTCACTCTGCCAAACCCTCAAATTTTCTCTCAGATTTATTACCAGGACCTAATGTGCCCTCAAGTGGCAACAAGGCATATTACAACTGGATTCCCAGAACTACACTTAGGCCCAAAGGTATAAGCTGGGAAATGAGATAAAGGGCAGATCAGAAGATCAGCTGAGCATCCTGCGACATTGGACAGCTATCTAAAAAGCAGGTACAACAGCCAGCTGAGTTATTCCAGACAGCCCAAAGATTTAACCACACAGAGGGAAACATAAAATCACTGGTCAATCTGTTAGTAAAGTGATTATCTAGTTCAGATTGTACACTTCCAGACATGGAAATCCTGGAGAAAGTTCGAAAAGTGAAACATGAAAAAGAAACCATTAGGAAAAAATAATGAACTTGGAGTTATTTATTCCAAAGAAAAATGTGCATATAACTTTAAATGCTCTCTGGGGTCATAACACATTCATTTCTACTAAGCAAAGACAGTATTTCTCTTAGGGTGAGAAAGACAAAAGCTAGAAACAAGATTTAAACAAGAAACAACGGTTGTAAATATTTAAGAATACAGTAAGTAGCACAAGGATCATTTCATTTGTGACTGAACAGTCTATCTTCTCTAACAAATGCTTGTAATTCTTGATATCATGGCATATACCAAATAGCAAAAATTTATTTCCCCAAAATAAACTCACAAAAAGAGCTTCAATATCTGCTCTAGCAATCATCTTTACAGATTCTACCCACTCAGAGACCTTCTAAAATATAGTGATCTTGGAAACTAAAGAGCCCCTGCTATGAAGGGCACCCACTTCTCAAGGAACAAGGTGCTGTCCCATGTATAAGAATAGCCAGACAAAGTCATCTCCAAGGTTGGAATCAGGTTCAAATGATCCCACTGAAGTCAAACACAGGTTGGGATCTGGACAAAAACAACAAAAGGGAGTCCAGACAGAGACAGAAGACGAGGCAACAGCTGAGCTATTTGGAGTGGCAGGAAGGATAACACTCAACCCACAGAAAGGGAAGGGAGCAAGCCAGAGAAGCTGAACACCAGCAGAAAGGGAACTCCAGGATTTCTTCCACTGAGCTCATTCATGGGAGCATCACTCAGTCTAGCTCTCCTGTTTCCCTTTGGTATTAACCAAATGATGTTCTAGGAGAGAGGAAACATGGCAAAATGCTACAAAGAACATCTCTTGATCTACATGTGGAAGCAGGTACAGCTAGCTACAGGTTCCACATCTGACTCCTTGCACTCATAATGCCATATATACTTGCTCACTTGATGAAGCTCTTGTCAGAGTGGACTTTCCAAGGGAAGACATGGCAGAGGGGCCAGAGAGAACAGGAATGGGAAGGCATCCATTGGAGAGTCTAAGGGATGACTGGGAGGAGGTAAAAAGCAATCTGGTCAAACACAACCAGACTATGTTTAACACCCTTTCCTTCCCTCCCTGGCACCTCAAAAAAGGATTCATCTCATACTGAGAGCAGTTGAAAGAGCCGGGATATTCACCCAGAATAAAGGAAACTTACTGCTAAGTAAGTTTCCTTTTTTGTAGATAAGGAATCATATAGCTCTGAAGGGGAAAACCAGGACTGGTGAGCAATAAATCTGTTATCCACTAAGCCTCAGGAAAAAGCCAACAAAAGGGAATGTATCAAGAAAGTGTTTAAACCATATTAAGTTTCTGAGAACTGGAACACCACCACGAGGGCAAGTCCTCTAGCTGAATGAGAACAACAACAAAAAACCCAACTCATTTCTTCAGCGGACATTCAGTAAAACCAAAGTTCAGTAAATGTAAATACAGAACACAGACAGGTGGAATACTTTTTTTCTCTTTGACAGAGGCCTCTTGACATTCAGTAAAGCTTAGATGAAAAAACACCACCACTGTGACCACCTAATCAGATTACACCCTCAAGAGAAAAATATACTGGATGATACACGTAGAAAAGAGAAGAAACTAGAAAGAACACTTGGGAATCTAAAAACTATTTTGACATTACTCAAATTAAGCCAGGAAAACCACATTAGAGCCCCATCACTCACATACAACATATTCTAACACTGATCAAAGGCAAATGCAAACTACCTAACCTATTTTTAACATGGTAGATGATATTATTCAAGTATCCTATTAGTAGAAGGGGCCTTGTGCTTTTTTTTTGGTGGTCCTGGGGTTTGAACTCAGGGCCTCGCGCTTAGTAGGCAGGCACTCTATCACTTGAGTCAATCTACCAGTCCTTTTTGTGCTGGCTATTTTTGAAATAGGATCTCACTTTATGCCTGGGCCACCTTAGACCTCAACTCTCCTACTTGTGCTTCTCTACATAGCCAGGATAACAGGTATATGCCACTGCATATAGTCATTGGTTGAGATGGGGACTCTCAAACTTTTTGTCCAGGCTGACCTCAAACCATATTCTACCCAAACTCCACACCCCCAAGTAGGTAGGATTAGACTTGAGTCATGGCACCTGACTTGGAGTAACTTTTTTTTTTTTTTTAAGCACAGGACTTTAGAATTTCTTCCAATTAGTATCACATAGTCCATTCTGACCAATCATTCCTGCTCACCAAAATCTTTCAGGCTATTCTTTCATCCATCTTATTATGTGATCTTATTTGTATCATGACACATTGATCCCAGGGTACCTCTATCATGTGACAGATTTAAAACATGAAAGAAAACCATGCCTGGGAAGCTTATCTCTATGTAACATTAATCATCTCACCATGAATGGAGTTCTAATTTTTGAACTGCAGTTAGAAACAAAGAAATGTGTACTCTAAAACCCTGACAGGTTCTCAAATAGTAAAATCTACAGCCCACTTAATAGAAACATCAAAACTGAAATTTTTTTTATGAACTCAAACATCTGGTCTTTAATTCAGATAAATTTTTTTAATTAAATTTTATCATTTTTCTCTTCTAGAAAATACCAATTATTTCTGCTCACTTTACTCTGTAAAATCATCCCAGACACACAAAATTGAAGACGTCATATTGCAGACAATACTGTCAGGCAGCATGAGCAGAAAAGGGAAGTCTTCTCACAAGAACTATCTGAAACATTCTGGATTCAAACCTGCAACAGCAGCGTACCAGCATGAGCTCTGGGTCCTGCAGCCAGGGGGGCAGTTCTGCCAGCTGGCTCATTGCCTGGAACAATGTGGCCCTCAGCGCACAGTAATTATCACCACGGACTCGCCTTATGGAGGTGAATTTCTGAGAAACTTCCTCATAGCCCTGGGAAAAAGTATCAAAGAAGTAAAAATGGTGGTTACTGGCTTCACCTAGCAAGGACAGTTCCATTCCTGTAGAAAAAAAAAACTGCCCTAGATCATTGAAAAAAATGGAGACAATACTGGCTGAGTCCTTCATGTAAGACATTCAAATTCCTTTTCATTATTCACTTATTTTAAAATGCTAGTATTTTAAAATGTATCAGCATACATAACAGATACAATAGTCCTGACATACAAAATAATAACCAAGTATTCAGGCACTGGTCACCCCCAAAGTGAGAGTCACATGTCCTTTCTAAACAACTATTGAAACTCTCACTCCATGATAATATTTTGAAAGGTTTAATCTGTGCTTAAATTGATCCGAACTCTTTAATAAAAAGAACAGGAAAAGAGAAAGATGTGCTAAGTATATTTCTATATTTAAAAAATGCACAAAAATCCTAAGTTTTCAAGGTATATGTATGTACAGTCATGTGTCATTTAACAATGATAATACATTCTGAGAAATGTGTCACTAGACAATTTCATCATTGTGCAAGCAATGAATTTGCACAAACCTAGTAGGCTGTATCATCCTACTGCACACCTAGGCTGTATGGTCTCTTACTGAACCTTAGTAGTAGAGTTTGTATGCTTAAGAGCTATGATGAACAAAATGAGCTTAAATTAAGCACAAGAGAAAATGATACAATCAAGAGATTCAGTAAACATAAGATTATAAAGCTGCTGCTAGCGTAACATGGGATACTGCTTTACAATAAACACTGAAATAATGATTTTTAAAAGTATAACAATACATAACCAGTAACAGTTTATTATCATTATCAAGTATTATATACTATCCTAATTGTGTGTGTTATAGTTTTATATGACTGGAAATACAAGTTTGCTTACACCAACATCACTACAAATATTTGAGTAATGCTGCTACATCACTAAACAATAAGAATTTTCAGCTCTGTTAAAATCTTACAGGATGTATTATATTTGTGGTCTGTTGTTCATCAAAACATCATTATGGAGCATATGTCAGTATATGAGTATATGTGTATATAAAAGTCTACTGCTAGGAAATGCCTAGATAATTCTGTTGGACTTTTTAAAGTAGATTAAGGTGTCACTCTTGCTCAGTCTAGAAGTTAAATAATGAACTGAAAATGTTAAGTGACATGCTTGGTCACTCAAAAACAGCCATACACATGGACCATTCTGAAGCATACTCCAAAAAAGGACACTACAAAATCCTAGTGACTCTGGATCTTGATACCCTGATTTTTCCAGCTAGACACTGTTCATTATTTGGACTGTGCTGCTCACCCTACCTTTGTCCACTCTTGTCCTTGTCCCACTCTTTCTTGACAGTCACTCGAAACTCTATTTCCTACCTGAACTTACAGAAATGAGCATCACATGGAGTAGGCATAATGCATCTCACCTGTGGACGCACAAACTAGATTCTTATTAGTCATTTTCAAAGTTTGTGTCATAGGACCAAGCATATGAGTGAACATGTTCATTTCATTGTTTTACTTTTAGACTGAGCAAGATTATGTCAATATTAAAATACTTCTTTCCAATAATAAAAACTGGAGTTGCATTTGCAGTTAGTGTTTAAACCACTGTAACATATAAGGGACCATCAGGCAAACTCACATCTACTAATGTGCACCTGCTCCCTCTGGTGAGGGACTTATCCCAGGAATACTTAACATTATAAATTCAACTGCACCTTTCTAAATGCATAAATTACTCATGCTATGTCAGAGATGAATTAAACTTTTTAAAATTACATTTGTATTTATACACATTCCCAAAAGAACATAAAACAGAAACAGACATTTAGGCAAACAGGACTAAAGTAAAACCAAGATCAAAGCTATTACTAGGTACCCAAGATACTCTAATTACACCATAGGTCTTGATGAGATGTGCCTCTAAATGAGATGCTTGATTTGATCACTGACAGAGGTCAACTTCGGAGTCAAATCTTTCTTTCCCTGAAAGTAATTCCATGTAGGAATGAATATGGAATATGTGGGTAACTCAGACATCATCAGTAATGTCAACTATTTGATCCTTTGAAGTGACTAAGGCCATAAAAGAACATTACAAGTCAGTGAAAGCATTGCTGAGGAAGATGAGAAATATAATTTAGATACCAAACTTTCTAATTTTCTAGTTTTGATACAGTGTTGGAAATCAGAGTATGAGTGGCTAACAAGTAGAGTCAGCAGATGGCCTACCAAATATAAATGTTTTTAACATTGGGCAGCAATGCAGAGTCCCAGGTATTTCATGAGTGAGTTCACTATACAACATAGAGTTACACCAGACTTGCCAAGAACAGGGATGACATCTCTTCTCAGATTTCCAAGTGATAGCTATATTTTGACTAAAAGTCCATGTGTAACTGAGATGCATGCTGAAATACAAGTAATATTTTCTACAAGAACAAACTATGAGGAAAAGAACAAATGTATTCAAATATTTAAAAAACTGAAACTCTAAAACCATACAATTCTAAACAAAAAATTCAAAGATATTTCTATCAAATATGATAGGTCAGTATCTCTAATATACAAGAAGTACATTCAAATTCAAAGTGTAAGCAATCTGAAGAGAAAAATACACAAAAGATACAACTTAGAAGTTGTGAGAGATGGCAATTTGACACTGTCATTTTTATAGTCAAGAATGTCAAGTAGTAGCAATTTCAACGTACAAATAGAGAGTGTTGGATTAGGGATACAATCTGAAGGTAGAGCCCATAGGAACGCTGCTCAGTCAGCTGTGTGGTGTTATGTGGGTCAAGATGTCTGCACTAAAGCAAGACCATATCATGCAAGTCCCGAGTATCATCCCAGTCCTAGAGATGATATTGCCAGTATATGTAATGGAACTATAAGGGGTTACCTCCTGGGTACCCCAAATGAAGGAAGCAGGTCCAGACCCCTTTTCAGAGTGAATGAGGGTCTAGGTCCCATGGACTAAAGAGCATGTGACCAAACCCAGGAACTGTGGGATCACCCCATCCCTAACCCTGAGGCTTTTACAACACCAGGCTAAGAAGATCATTCACAAATGGACCAGGAGACTACCAATGGCAGGCCCAATTCTGAATAGCATAGAGTCTTAACTGTTTTTTAAAGGGATTAAGTTACTGAAAAACCGATGCTGATTCTATAGTAACACTGTGACTCCAAATGAGTCCTTTTACCTTTGGAGCCTGTTTCCTTATCTCTAAAATTAGAATACCAATATTTACAAAGTCTAATGACAGCAGTCATAACCAACATCTAAAAATACCATATAGAACTTATGGTGGACTGTAATATGTGCACCTCTGTTGTACCTTTTTCATACATGTTGCTTTCTGAGTATTTCCCCTCCACTCTTTTTTGCAGTAGTCCATGATATCCATTTCAGGAGCCACACTTAATCTGGGTTCTGTTAAAGAATCAAAACAAAAAACAAGTAATGAACCAAAGAATAATCAAAATAACAGCACTACTTTACTTGAGAGTCAACCTTCACTCGTTACATTCTTTCACTTCTTTTTAAAAATCCAGAATTCAACCACTGCCTATACCTCTAGTCCATCAGATAACGAGGGGAATCGCTCAATGGGTCTCCCTTGTCACCACACCCTCCAGATCATTCTCCACCCAGTAACTATCCATGGTTATCCATCTAATATAGGAATCAACAGATAACATCCCTCACTCCTGGGTCAGAGAGCTCCAGGGGCCTCGCACCTTACCCTCACTTGAGAGACAGCCACCTTCTGACCTACCAGTCCCCGTGCCTCTCTGGACTCACTTTCCACCCTAACTGTGCCCCTCTCCCACCAGCTGCCTCCCCTCATATTCTCCAACACTCCTGCCAAGCTCTTTCCTATCCCTGCAGTCTCCAGTCGCCTGATACCCCTAAAATCACACGTGCACACCTTTGCTCTTTACCCCTTATGCTGTTCTATTTTCCTTCTTGCATTTACCAACATCTGACATATTTCTTTTTCTATAACTGCTACACATAACCACGTATGAACACAGTAAAACCTGAGCTTCTTAAGAGTAGGGGCTTTGTACTGTTTCTCAGCTGCATCCTCACTCAACACCCAAAACTGCACTGACCCACAAATATCTGTAAATATTTTCCTAATCAGAGACTCAATAGTCTGAACTATGAGAAAATATATACATTGACTCATATCATAGTGTGTGTGTTTGAGGTAAATTCTAAGGCACATTTTGACTTCCTTTATTGAAAATGTAGATGCCAGTGATGATTTTAAGGTATAAACCTTGCATTACATCTTGCATTCCTCCTTATTAATGAGGAAGCTGTACATAAAATATGTGTTCCACTCAACTCAATTTAACAGACATATACTGAGTGTCTAATATGTGCCAAGCGCTGAGCCAGGAACTGGGAAAATGAAGGCAATGAAAACAGAGTCTTTCCTGAAAGGACTTACAGGAAGAAAAGACCACATGCGTTTATTTGCATGTCAGAATGAGATGGATGCTAGGGTGACTAAGGAGCAAAAAGCCTCCCTACAGTTTAGGGAAATCAAATCCTTTTTCAAAGTAAACTGTAAGGATTACCAGGCTTTAAAAAAAAAAAATCTCATTGCAAATCCTTTAATAAAGAAAATCAGCCTTTTACATAAAAGGGAAAATGATACAAATGCAGAAAACACATATCTGTGGCATACAATGGGTTTAGCATAGAAGTGAATAGACCCTGAGGAGTAATACACAGAGACCACCACTACACCTATTCTACTTAGTCAGTCCTTCAATACAGATCCTGCATCTTTTAAATTCAAGAAATACTTACTGGCAAGAACATGATCCCATGCGTTTGCCTTTCCACTCACCTCCCCCAAGAGCAGGAAGAGCTACAATGTGCAGAGTCAGGACTCTTTCTGATCATATGTTACCTCAGGCAGAGGTATGACCTTTAACAGACAGCATACTCCTAGCACAAGAAAGGCCTTCCAACAGGAAGTCTTCCTTCCTGCTCTCCTCACTCCCACACACACTAACACAAGACCTGGACCCCAGACAGAGAAGGCCAGGCCTACCACCTCAAGATGGAGGGGAGGAGGCCTGGAACCTCAGACAGGCAAGAAGCCAAGACATAGGCCACAGCCTCATGATGAATCACAGGCCGAGGGGAGGTAGGAGGATTGGGAAAATGATGATCCAGAGCTGGCAGCATCAAAGTATTACTTGAATTCCATTTGGTTACCATTCTCTGGGAGGAGGACTGGAACAGCTACTACGTGCCATGACTAGGCACAGGACAAGGCAGTACTTGACGTCAAGCTGCTCACTGAGTACAACAGTCCCTTTCTTTAACTATGAACTATACAAACTCCTTGCTGTTTCCAGAAAAAGAGTATTTCTGCTTGCAAAAATTTAAAACTAAATAAGGGAAGTTGAAAACCAGAGTGGTAAGCAGGAGCTGAAATAACCAAGAAGACTGTTCTTAACCACAACGTGAGTAACAAATACAAGAATCAGACCCTCAGAAGTGAAAAAAATAAAAGGGGAACCCCTCTAGGAAGCTAGGACTCTCAGAGGATAGACTAGGAGAGGAATCTCAAACTTTTCTGTGATAGATTAGATAGGAAATAACAGGCTCTGAAGACTTAAGGTTTCTGTCACAATTACTCAACTATGCATTAAAACCACCGAAGACTTATGTAAACTAAAAGTTTCAATAAAACTTTATTTATAAAATCAGGTATCCAGCAAGCCATGGTTTGCTGACTTCTGAGGTAGGCAGAAAAGTTTAAGGAAGAGAGTAAGAATCCTTTCTGCCTGCTTGTCTCTGCTTTGGGAAGGGGATATCCTGTCAAAGGATGTTATTTGAGGAAGGGCAATGAACTAAGAAGGACTGAGATGCAAAGAGTGTAAAGGGAATGATATTTCGGGGTGCCCAGGGCAGGGGGTTGAACTCAGGGCCTCACACTTACTAGGCAGGAGCTCCACCACTTGAGCCACGCTTCCAACCCTTTTTCCTCTAGTTACTTTGGAAATGGGGTTTCACTTTTTTGCTCAGGCCAGCCTGGACTACAATCCTATTTTATGCTTCCCACTGTAACTAGGGATGACAGGCATAGACCATCATGCCCAGTTTTTGGGTTTTTTTTTTCTGCTGAGATGGGGTCTTGCAAACTTTTTTGCCTGGGCTAGCCTCAAACCACAATCTACTTGCTCTCAGCCTCCAGCTAGCTAGGTATGAACCACCAGCACCCAGCCAGTGATCCCTTTTACTCTCATACCAAAACTAGAAGTTACGAGACCCACTAAAAAGCTTGGACTGAAAAGCCTGTGTAGGGTACAATACTGGACAGCTGAGAATCACAACAGAGCCTGGAAAGCAGGAGAGAAAACAGGAGGTCCCACAGCAGTAACAAACAAGGATTATATACATAGGAGCACATTCTTCTCAGAAATAGAACTACAAGGATTTTGTGTCCTAAGTTATTTGGAGCAAGCACAGCAACAGACACTGAGCATACTCTGAAGTTCTACAGGAGACTGGAACAGTGAGGTTCAGCAACACCCAAAACCACTACAAAGACATCGCCAATGGCAACCACAGGGAAGAGTTCACAGATTCATTCTGAGGAAGACTCAGAAATTATCAAAACCCTATGTATCATTTCTTCCTAATTATACGGACAATGCTTTTGTTAACCAGAAAGTAAACAGAAGCCCATTCTCAAAACAAATCAGTAGAACACATAAATTACACAGGTAATGAGAGACAAAGTACCACTTGTGAATTATCTAAGGCATTATTCCCCCACTTGGCTTTTGCATGAGGCCTGCAGATGAGGAAAGGATGTGCTTCACTTGTAGCCCTGCTGGCCAAGTCTCCATGACCAGTAGAGGGGGCCAGGGGCAATGCCTCACCTCTGTGACAGAACAGGTTGGGGTGAGAAGTGCAGGCCTGACACAGGAGAAGCACGTACATGACCTGGATCACAAAATGAGGACTGGTGCTATCAATCCCACGATCACTGTTTTTTAAGTCAGTTAGATTCACATGGCCATCTGCATGCAAGGAAATGTGTGTATAGCCAGCTTCTCAATAAGTCTTTCAGTTGGAAATGAAAAATGCATTTCAAATTCAAACTCTCCTTCTAAGAATGTAAAGAAATCAGGAACTGAGAGAGGGTAGTGTCAAAAGGTTAAAGTAATCCTCACAGGTACAGAAACGTGAACATAAAGAACACTAGCATTAAAGTTGAAAAAGCTCAGGAGACAGTCTGCCCTAAACATACTTCAGCAGAATGAAAAATCAATGTACATAAGACTGGGCATCTAAGAATATTTCCTGGGAAGTACATGTCCACATTTTATGTTCTACTATAAACAGTAAAAACTCTGTAAATAAAACAATTCCAAACATACCTGATGCCCCTCTTTCATGTATAAGCAATTCTTTCTCCTTTTCTATTTCATCTGCGGCACGGTACATGTCCTCCTCACTGAAATCACACCAAAGCAGACATTTTCAAACACTTGTTATGCTGACATTTTCTGAAGTACAAATATACAGCTGCTTATAAAATGTATAAGACACAAAAAATTTTAACTTTTTTCACATTACATGACAACAATCTGATAACATATGGGTTCTATATCTTAGATGCTCATGTTTCTATTTGATCACTTTCTTCTACTTCAGATTTTCTTATTTTAAATGAGACAGTTTACATCACTCCACTGGCTACAAAGTCCTATAGACATTTAAATCAACATCTATTAACATACTTCCTATCAGTGAAGCTCCTGAGATGATTCTGTTGAAGTTCCAAGAACAGGAACAGAGCTAATAAAAATATTTATGAAGGAATTCTGGATCCACTGCCAACCTTGATAATGTCGCAAGTATATGTGACAAAAGCTACTCTAAAAACAAGGGTAGGAGTGAATCAATTATTTTCAGTCCCCAAAGCTAAAAATTCTTCTTGAGGCTCCTCCTGTTCCCTAACCCCCACATTCAACCACTCACCCACATTCTGTGTTCCCACAAACTTTAATGACTTTTAATGACTCTGCCACTATTGCTGATGACTTCTTACTTATATAATAGCTTCCTAAAGTGTCTATTCTCTTTAGTCAACTAACAAGAGCCAACAAGGCCAGGCGCTGGTGGCTCACACCTGTAATCCTAGCTACTCAAGAGGACTGGGGTTGGAAGCCACCAAGTTTGTCTGAGGATACAGCAAACATACTTGAGACCCTGTCTCGAAAATACCCAACACAAAACAGGGCTAGTGGAGTGGCACAAGTGGTAGTACGCCTGCTTAGCAAGCATGAGGCCCTGAGCTCAAAATCCCAGTACCGCCAAAAAAAAAAAAAAAAGAGAGAGAGAGAGAGAAAGAGCGCTTATTAACTATTAGTTAGTAGACAAAGATGAAGAATAGGCATCCCAGTTTGAAGATGCCCCCTTTTCCCCTCAAGATTCCAGAGGGAAAAAGAAACACCAACTCCATCTTTGCTAAAAGCAGAAGATGTGTAAAAACATAGAACACAGAATGACACAGGCAGGGACATCCAAGAGTGGTAGAGGGGCATCTGTGGAAGGCAAGCTGGTAAACCAGGCAGAACCCCAGACAGGCTCAGGAACTGGGGCCACCAAGTCCGTCTGAGGGTGCGGCAAACACACTGAGCTTAAAAACAAGGAGGCTGGCTTACTCATGAGCACTCAGTCCCACAACTCCCCGTACTTCCTCCGATGACTGCACACCACCCTTACACCAGACTGGGGTTTGGGAGAGCCTCCAGACACAGTGGAAGGCAAGAAGCTGTCAGGCTAAAACCACAGGAATAAAGTGAATGACTGAGAGTCCCCTTCCTCCAATTCCCTTATCACTCCAGCTCCCAGCACGTGGCCTAGTACAGCTAGGGAGAAGAGGAGGTCAAAAGAAGAGACGGATGAAGAGGCGCTGGGAGAGGTAGACTGAGGTGGGTGGAAGTCTAACATGCTCCTGCTGAAACCTTTCAGCGTTTCCCAAACTCTGGAGGAACTAATGTCAAAAGCTACACCTGCCCCACCACTTCCCTCTATCTAGCCTAAATTCCATTACTCCCCTAGGCATTACCCAGGCTTCAGTCCAAACACCTGACCAACATGACCCTGCACTTTGCCCATGCATTGCTCCAGGTGCTCTCTCTTCCCAGCTCCTGACCTGCCTCTTGCATAACACATCCCAACGAATGCTGTGTGGGCAAGCCCTCTGTGAGAGCAACAGTAGTGTAGAAACCCAAGAGTTAGACTGTCAGAGTTTAATCACCCTTCACTCCAGCCATTATTACCTGCATGTACAGCAGATACTAGAGTAACTACACTTCTCGGTGTCTAAATTTAACCACCTATTAAAAAGAATCTTTAAAATATTCATCCCATAGGACTACTGTGAGAAACAGACACATGTAAAATAATCAGTACTCAAAAGTTAGTTATTATTATACATCCATTTGTGTAGAGTATTAATAAACAACTTGCCCAATCATCATTCTTATTCCATTTTTCCCTTTGTAAATCATGTGAGAGTATGCACATGTGTTTTAATGTTGTGCGGGTGAGAGGACAAATACGGAAAAGGTACTTCTCTTGCGCTCTGACTCCAGTAAGATTCAAGTAAAAGGTGTGATGGGAGCCTGTGCCCGAGTTAAAAGCAAAGAGATGACCAGGGACTACAGATAAAAGAAGTGAAATATGTGACTAAATGTGTTCATTCTTCTCTGACAAATTTAACGACATCTTTCAGCCTCCTTCCTAGCTTAATCAATGAGAGAAATTCTGATCTTCTAAAACAGTCATTTAAGTGAATCACTTTTTTAATATTTACTATTATTTTTAATTATTTTTTAATATTTAATATTATTATCAGAAGCATGTCTTTGGGCAAGTCACTTCCCCAATCTTGCCCTGTTTTCTCATCTTCAAAATGAGAAGACTAGATACGATTTGTAAGATCCACATGGTTCCTCTTCCAGTTATTAGTTCTAACAGTCTATGCATGCATTTGCACTTCAAGCAAATTCTGTGGCTATTCTGCATGCACACTTGGCTCCACTTTGGTCCTCTTCCTTTTTAATCAACAAAATAGCAAAAATGCAATCACAACCCCAGTACTCTGAGGAGGTTCTCTAAACAAGTATCTTACCAGATAGCCACAAATACTACAGGGCCAACAGAGAAAGAACAAAAAGCAGAATGAACAGAACTGAATGCAAAGGGAAGACAGAGCACCAAGGAGATTATGGAAAATAAAAAACAGTGATTCCGAATACAGCAAACAACAGAGACAAAGCAGAAACTGATGAGTGAGAGCTCCAGAGACTGTGCAAATCACTTTAGCCACAACTGGGTTTCACTCAGACCACGCACACTTCCTTGGCCACCAAGGGCAGATGGAAACAGTAATATGGCCCTTAAAAATGACCCCAAAGCTGCATCTCCTTGGAGAAAGTATAAGTTTTAAATTTAACTTATGAAGTTCAATCAACACAATCAGAAAGGAAGGCATTTAACAGACAGAATGAAATATTCAGCAATTTAAAGGAAGGAGGGAGGGAGGATGGAGAAAGAAAGAAAAAATTTCATTTTAAAAATACTTCAGGGTTAGAAATAAAACTCAGTACTAGAGTACTAGCCCAGAATACACAAGGCCTTGAGTTCAACCCTTAGCACAGCAAAATTTTTTTTAAAAATAAAAATACCTCAAACATTTTCCTTACTTTTTTACGTATCAGTATTAAAGCTGAAAAAGACAAAATGAAAGTACACATAAAGCTGAGAATCAGAAATAGGTAGAGGTTTGATGTCAAATTTTGTTTAGGAAAGGGAAGACAGTGAAACAATAAAAGATAAGGGATATTGCTAGCTAAAATCATCAACGCTGAACAGTTCCAGAAATTCGACAACTTTCTGTGTTAAGTGTTAGGGTGGGAATAGGGAGGTGTCCACACTGGCAGAGGCCACTGAAGCCCACAGATGCAGATGATCACCAACGCAAAAAAATTTTCCTTTTGGAAAACGTAAATATAGTTAGAAAAATGGTAAAAGAAAGACCCAAGTTTTAAATGATTCAGTTTCCTGGCATTCTAGTCACAATTACATTGTTGAGTTAAATATTAAAACCAAAACGCTAATACTTCCTGGTTAAAATTTTCCTCATCTAGCACCATGACATTATTTTAAAATATTTACGTTCCAAGGCTGGTGGAGTGGCTCAAGTGGTAGAGCCTAGAAAGTATGAGGCCCTGAGTTCAAACTCCAGTGCCACCAAAAAAAAAAAAAAATCCCACTAAACAGTATTTACCAGTTTTCTCATGAAGTAGACGTGTGATTTTTTTTAATTAATGCAAACCTTATTTATAAAAGACTTTTTAATTGTTCATACAAAATACAGTAACCCTTCAGGGCAACAGAGAGAAGAGATCACAAACTCAAAGGAAAACTATTAAAGAGCTTCTAGCAGCAAAAATCTAGGGAAGATTAGGACAATTTATTTTTAATATGAAGGCAATGTACCAAATTGATTAAGCTACATAACATTGCCTTATTTGCTCTGTTCAAAGACCTCCATACTAACAATTTTTGAAGACTTATTTTTAAAATGCTCACTAATATAAAGACAAAACCACATTATTTCTGAAGACAAGCTGCAAGTTAAAAGCAGAGCTCAGTGAAGCAGAAGACATTTCTATGAAGCCAATTTTTCAATTTCTGACTCAAGTAAATGTGTGATATGAAAACAATCACCTCTAATAGACAAGACGGTTTAATCATTCACCATTATGAACCTTTGCACCAAGATGCTGTTAGTTATCGAAAAGAATTGAGAATGGCTTTGTTCACTCTGAACTTGAGTGAGCCCTGCAGTTCATGCTTGACTTGGCCTGTCTTAGAAGACTAATGGCCCAGGTAGTGTAAGTGAGACAGAGTCCACCAGTGTGACACCAACATACCTTCCCACACAGACACAGGAAAAAGCAAAGACCACTCAACCCTGCCCTTCTCGACCGCTTAGTGGTTGCAGAGAGGGGAGACAGCACATCAAATGTAGGAAAGTACCGGCACCCAAGCCAAAATTCCAACCCCCCCTTCTATAAGTGGACTTTCCACAACTGGTTCATGCTACTCCATGTGACTTCCAGAGGTATACGAGGCAAATGTAGCCGCCCTCACAATGAGGTTTGATTCTTAGAGACATCCTAGTTCTGACCACGAAAGCAGGCTCGTCATCCGATGGAGAAAGGAAAAGGGGCCATTATATCCCATCTCATACACCTAATCTACACAACATATTCTAGGAGCTTGGGGGTAGGGGGAGGCAGAAAACACACCACATACTAATATGCTCAGCAACACCCAAGATCAATAGCTTTAGCAGTATTTTTTAGTGTGTGGGTGGGTCACAGACCCTTTTCGAGAATTCGTATTTTTCAACATTACACAAATTTTGTCTTCAATTTCACAGGGCTTCACAGATGGTATGCCCCCAACACAACCTGCCTGTGAACCCTAGATTCAAGCTCTGTCCCACCCTCAGGCAGACCTAGAAAAGCCAGAGTAGTCTCTCTTCTCAATTCCTTAAGCATTTCTGGCCTGGCCACAGACCATGTCCTTGAGAACCAGTGTGGCTTAGGTGAGCTAAAGGTAAAAAGCAGACCAGCAGGGGTCAAATGTGGGGGGGCTAACAGGGTAAAGAATACAACATAGGAGACCTGCTACAAGGGGCAGGGAGGGAGCTTCCAGAAAGTCAACTAATCTGGTCTAAGACCTCTTCAAATGCGACCCTAAGTTATCCTGTGAGTCATTTGTTGGCTGACTTCTCCTGGGGGTTGCCCAGGACATGCCAACCAACAACACCCCTCAAATAAGCTAGCTAGAGAAAAAAAAAAATGCAGTGAGATTTAGAACGTAGCATATCCATGTGGTTTATATATCCCTCTTCCCCACTTTTCTCCCTTGTGAAATACACTGAGCTAATTAGAAAGGAATCAGAATAACTTGTGCTACTAGGAAATGAGCCATCCCTCCTATCCTCCAAAGAGTCACATCCTAAATATATTATTCGGCTGCAGAAGGTAGGCTATGATTTGAATTCATAACTGCTTCCCACTAAGTGTATTAAAAATTACTCCATGGAATATCTCAAAACACTGTCTTTATGTTTTGAACTACCAGGTACAAATATTTTAATTGATTTTATCTGGATGGAAAGAAAGGCCTTGGCTCCAACAACATTTAAAAAGAGCATTGAATTATTTATTTAAATTTACATTCACATTATTAAGCTGCATATACCATCATGTAGGACTTTACATGCATACATTACACTGTACATTGCAGTCCAGTTTCTCTAGTCCCTGAGAAAACATCACAAAGAGAAGGTGCCCTATTACCCATATAACGCTGACTCAAAAAGACAGAATAGGCTACAAAGCACAAAACTTAAGATATGAGATTGGAAAGTTAACATCTGAAAGTTACATTCATCTCCTTTGATTCCCCCATCTGATGAGGAGAAAGGGGAATGGGATAATTAAACACGACAAAAGCAGGAAGAAAAGAAATTAAGCTGCTAAGGAAACCACGAGCCAGAATACCTATGGGAGAGGTGGCCTGAAGCTTGCTGTCATCATAAATCATGCCCCCCCTATGGTTTTGCTGAGGAGCAGTGTGGGGATACCACTCAAGAATCAGGGGAAATGGCCCTGAAACCTACTACCTATGTCTTCCTGGTCAAGCTGCACCTAAGGAACCTGTAAGATGACAAACCTATGCTAGGTGGTTCAGGTTCCTTTTAGCTTTAAGTCTACTGCCAGAAGACAGAAGAAAACTTTTCCTCAAGCAAGCCCACTCCCCACCCCACTCCATCTCCCAGTGTTCAGACTCAGAACCACATCCATCAGAAAACCGGCCACACAACTATTCGTATTTTTGCGAACATGATAATGGCTTCAATTTTCGGCATCTTTCAGAGGGCATGAAACAACATAGGTCAAGGCACCTGAGAGGCAGGCATCTAAATGGGGGCCCAGGGCAGGAGGAAGGCATGACAGCAGCAGTTAAGAAGCAGCATGGGCCCCAGGAGGGGCAGAGACAAGAGTCCCCAGGCTTAGCCCTCTGGAGGGGCTGAGGCAGGCCTCTCACCCAGACAGAAAACTGGCAGTCACAGATCAGATCAACTCACACATGGGCCTATGTATTGGTTCCAATATAAAGAAAAATAATGTCACTGCTTAAAAACCGGGCTATGTAATACAAAAGCCAAGATAGCTGGATTCAACAACTACTGACGAGAGTTTAGGGAACCCTGGCGTCCCCAGTACAGAAGCACAAGCTCTCTAGTCCACACCTGGCTGACTTCACTAACAAGTTATTTACCTGCCTAGCTCTTGGAGAAGTTTGAGAGCTCCCACCTAAATCTTTCCTCAATGACCATTAACACCCATTAAATGAATAATTGCCATCACACTTGGGTGCCCAAAAAATGAATAATGTCAAGACCCACTGCAAAGCACTATGCAGATGGCTTACTGCAAAATATTATGTACATAACAGGCATCCAAAGGACCTCTTTTTAGGAGGTAGGATAAAAGGACCTCTAAAGGTCCGTTTAAACACCTTACAATTTAACTTTCCAGCCAATTAAAACGCAGATCAAACTGGCTGAGTGCTTTGTCAATTTTGGTAGCCCAAAGGCATTCACACGGGCTTGGAACTCGAAAGTGCAGGAAAATGTCACCCGCTTCCCACCGCACCGCAGACCCTTGCAGCAGTACAGGCGCGCGGACTGCAGGGTTCTTTCTCTCCAGATCCAGGAGGGCATCGCTCTGAGCACCACTGACTTTCGCGTTTAAAAGCGAAGGGCGGAAGGAACAAGTGCTAGGCCGCGACAGTGTGAGTCGGCCCGGGTCAGACGGCGTCCAAAGTCTGTCCAACAGGTGGGACGCTCGTCAAGTTGCGACTTGCCTTCAAGAGCAAAGATGTCGCACGGCACTTTTCCTGCGCCTGTGACAGAAGCGACCTTACTTCCTCCCCGGGTCAGGTTGGAGGAAAGTTAGTGAGTCACACTACTCTTCTTGGGTTCGTTTCCCAAGTTTCTAGCGCTTTCCCTAATTTTAGAGAAGCGCTGATGTCAAAGCCGGAGTTGGGGGGGAGGGACCAGAACTGTGACTGCGGCCCCAGGGAAACAGGTCGTCAAATTCCTCCTGGTCGCGGACGGCCTCCCTGAGAGGTGGGGAAGCCGAAGGGATCCCGGTCCACCCAGCCGTCCCCGGGGACCCCGAACCCTCTGCCGCCCCAGCCCGCGCCCCGCGCACTCACTGCTCGGCTGGGCACTGCATCGCGGGCCGGGAGTGCCCGCCAGCCACCGCCTTCCCGCCCTCCCGCGCCGCGGCCCCCGCCTCCCGCGCCGGCATCTCCGCGCAGCTCGCGCCCGGCCACGCTGCGGGCTGGGGCATGGTCTCCCTACTCATGCGGCGGCGGCGGCACCAACGGGGTTCACCCGCTCCCAAAGATCCGAGCCCCAGCCGTCCGGGGCCGTAGCCGCCGCCGCCGCTGCCGCTCTGCTGCCGAGCGGCTCAAAGAGCTCGGCAAGGCACTTCCGCGCACGTCATCACGGCCCGCCCCGCGGCCTTTAACCCGCGGCAAAGGGGCGCGTCTGGAAAGGGGCGGGGCGGGGCGGGGCGGGGGGGCGGGGCGGGGCGGGGGGGGGCGGGAGGAGAGGCTGAAGGCGCGGTGCGTCCTGTGCGCATGTGCGGGTCGAGTCGCAAGGCTGGTTCAACCGGCGCGGCACGGCCTCTGCGCATGTCCCGCTCCCCCGCGCTGGCTCCGCTCCTCCGCGCTGCCCCCGCTCCTCCTCGGAGCCGGCCCCCGGCGTGAGAGGCGGGGTGAAAACAAGGAAGGCAGGCCTTGGGAACGAAGGGCGCTAACAAATTTTGGACGCCCTGTAATGTCGCTGGAGGCTCCCGGTTGTTGCCTTCCGTTGCTGTAAAGCCGGAGATGCGGAAGGGCCGCGTGGGACGGTGGCGGAGCCCGCGGCTTTGGTCCCCGCTATGGGGGTCACAGTTAAGCAAGCGCGTCAGCGTTGTGCCTGGGTTTATTCTCTCACAGGGAGGTTTTCATTTAAGAGGAGCAGAAGCAAAGAGCAGACTAACACTTCAGAGCTCGGAAGGTGAAATGTTTGCTCCATCTTTGGGGGGAGAGTTAGAGGAGCAGCCTGGAGGGATGGGCAGCCAAGAACCAGGACCAAAATACGGAGAACGGCCAGGCCAGGGCAGCTCAGACGCCCGCGGGAGGCTGGGGCGGGACGGGTAGAAAGCGGGGCGTTTTAAGGAAAGATGAGGCGGAAGAAATACGGTGGGTGAACTGCGAAGCTTGAGATTGGTCTTCCTTGAGAGATCTCGACGTCTGCAGTTTAGAGTGAGGACTGGCGAAGGCCAGGACAGCAGAAGGCGAACCCGTATGGAGACGATGTTTGCTTTTTGAAGCAAAAGTCTGGGGTGTTATTTTTCCTGTAATTCTTGAAAAGGTAATAAATGCACATGGTGAGAAATTGAGAGCATTATGAAAGAATATTTTAAGGGTGTGGATTGCAGAGGGTTGAATGTTGTTCTCTCCCTCGCCCCCGCCACCACCAATTTGTTTCTATTTGGAAACCACATAATTTGATCACTTGTAAAGAGTCTTTGCATAAAGTAGTTAAATGAGGTTACACTGGATTAGAATGGGCTCTAAATCTAATGACTGGTATTGTGAGAAGAAGGCAAACAGATACATAGGCACGGGGAACTAGGCCATGTGGGGAACGAGGCAAGAGACGGGAGTGAGGGAGCCATAAGCCAAGGAAAGCTTTTGGAGCCACCAAAAGCTAAAGCGAGGAAAGATTATTTCAAAGAGCATTTCAGAAGAAGCTTGGCACTGCCAATGACCTGATTTCAGACTTGTAGCTTCCAAAACTAAAAGAATGAAGTTCTCTTGTGTGAGCCACCCAGTTTGTTGTACTTTGTTGTGGCAACCCTGGGAAACGAATACAATGCTCAACGTGGAAAGATACAAAATTCTCTCAGGCCAAGTTTATTTATATAGTCCTACCAAGTAGAGATTCTGGATTCAATATTTTATCCCAAAGGGTTATAAAAGGCTTTAATGTTGTATTTGGATGTAGAGTATGTTTTTTTCCTATTATGCATGTCATACTGAGAAAATAACCAGAGATGGATTTGGGGCCCACTTGGCCCACTGTGAGAAGGATCTGAGTAAAAACTCCATCTCTCATTTAGCCTCTGTCCACCCAGAAGAACCCACACTAAACAAAGTGGAAGTGCCAGAACTGCTAAGGTACACCTTAGTGGAAGGTAGCCAAAGGTTTAGGGAGACTGAGATGTTACAGAAGATTTATTATGTAAGACCTACTTTCCCACCTCAGGAGGATACAGAGAACAGACCTTTCACCATGATTGTGTGAAGTAAATTTCAAGGGGATCCCCAGCATCCTGCAAGAGATCTGTGGTTGCTCCTGTCTATAGTGATATACATATATTACAGGGGAAACTGACTATCAGATTGAGATTCCTAAATGCAGTGGGGATAATGGGAATACAGGGTGGCAGCAATGAAGGGTGGCACTTACTTGCCAAAAGGCAGGTGACATGGTTACTGTAATGGCCAGCAGAACCAAAGCAGTATTGTCTTACTTGCAAAGACCTGTGGTGTTTGCCAGTAGGAGATCAATTCTTAACTTGTCAGGCAGTAAATAAACCAAAAGCAATACCACATTCTCAGGGGGACTGCAAAGATTAGGGCCATGTCAAAGACTTGAAATGGTGGTACCACATCCCTTTTCAATTTGGCATGCATGGAACACAGGTCCTGGAAAGTGATATTGGAGTCTCACAAATTGAATTATGTGGTGACTCCAGCTGTACTGCTATTTTGAGTTTTTGGTTTTTTTCTCATGGGTAAAGAAGAAGACACAATGTTTTTTACTGAAGCATTTTCTGAATAACAAAAATTGGAAACAAACTAAGTGTCCATTAATAAAAGAATTACTATAAAATGTGTGACAATATAGTGAAATACTGTAGACTAATGGGAATGAGAGTATCAATATGAGAAAATCTTAAACACGTGGAATGGAAAAAACCATGTGTAGGGTGGTATGCATGGCATTATACAATCCATTTAAAGTTCAAAACCACAAAAGATAATAGCAAAGGCCCGAAAATCTGCATAGAAATAATACTCATATATTTGGCATTGTTTTTACCTTGGTGATAATGACCTCGAGTGGGGGCGGTTTGTTCCCCCAAAGCCAGGGATAATTGCATTTAGAAGTAATGGATCACATAACTGGCATTTTAAGACTGTCACCTCCCTCACCATCTTTGTCTTTATTTTTATTTCACTGTAATGCTGAGGATATTTTTTTTTCTGCCTGTGCTTTTTTTTTCATTATTGTTGTACTAAGGGCACATTGTGACATTTACGAAAGTTTTTACAATGTATCATAGTTGAATTCATCCCCTCCATCATTCTCCTTTATACTTCCTGCCCCCGTTCCTGGAATAGTTTCAACAAGTCTGATTTTTCCATTTTCATATATGAGTGCGTAATATTTCCACTGCAGTCACCCTCCTACACCCTTTCCTTATATCCTCCCTCCTCCCACTGGTGCCAACCCCCAGACAGGACCTGGTTTACCTCTTTGTTCTGCTATTTTGAAAGGACTTGGTTTTATTGCTTGAGAAAATCTGGTACTGAGTATGCAGATACTGGTTGACAAATGCTTTTTTCCTCTACATCCATTAGGGGGAAAAAACAAGCTATTTACTTCCAACTGGGAAAACCAGCAATATCCCTTCCTCCCCTACCACAGAGATAAATGAACTCTTTGGCCCTGTGTCATAATTTAGTCCATAGCAGCCTTGTTCACTTTTCCCTTCTTCCAGGGAACCTCACAAGTTAGTCCTGGTGAGCAGGAAGTAGCCACCACTCTGGACTTATTGGTAATATATTTGCAAGTCACAGTGTGGGAAATAAATTTCCCAAAACTTCAAGAGCCTTCTATCTCAGTGAAATTTTGGGGCTGGGGTCAACATTGTAGGACATATCAAGACACCACTTCTAAGATGAAGAATAAGTTGTTGCATCTGGCCCCTTCTACAACCAAAGAAAAAGAGAAAGAGCAGCTCAGTGCCTAGTGGGAGAAAAGAAGACTCTGTAGTAATGCCAGTTGCTCCATCACTTGGGCCTATGATCCAGAGGTCCAGTAGTGCTTGAAGGGGCAGCGACAGAGGTAGATGCTGGTTAGTCTTTGACAGGCATCTTAGGTGAATAACAGTACAAACACTTAGGATTTGGCAGCAAAGGCCTACCACCCTCTGCAGAAAAGTACTCTGCTTTTGGTTTGCTACCTGACCCTGTTATGATGAAGGTTTAACCATGACACCTAGTTAGCATATGGCCTGACCTCAGTGGTATGTCCTGTTGCTAGTATGTAACCTTGACATGATCTGATGAAAGTCGTTTTCCTTCTCCAAACCATAACCCCACACTAATGAAAAAACATCAGACATCAGATAATTCTATTCAAAGGGCATCCTACAAAATATCTGTCTAGAACTCTTCAAAACTGTTAAGGTCAACAAAAACAAAAGTATCCTGCTCAGGTTAGATTATTCCAAAGAAATCTCAATAAACCATGGTCTTAAGTAGTAATAATGTATGAATACTCGTACATTAATTACAACAAACATGCCATACCAATGTCAGATGTTAGTAATACCGGAAATTGGATGTGGGTGTACAGGAACTGCCATCTTCTCAAATTGTTTTTGTAAATCTAAAACTGTTCCTAAAAATAAAGTCTTACATTTTTTTAAAATCCAGCTCAGGCCAGTCGCTAATAACTCATGTCTATAATCTTAGTAACTTGGGAGCCTGGGATTGGGAGGACTCTGATTCAAGGCCAGTCCAGGCAAATAGTTTGTGAGACACCCACCTCCAAAAATAACCAGAGCAAAGTGGACTGGAGGTGTGGCTCAAGCAGTAGAGTACCTGCTTTTGAAATGCAAAGCCCTGAGTTCAAACCCCAGTCCTACCAAAAAAAAAAAAAATCAAACTCAGATCACCGTGTCATAAAGTGACAAACCATTACTTTCCAAAATAATGAAGCACATCCAGTCATATTGCTCTTATTTTGTACTTCAGCTTAAAAATCCAGAGATTACGTCACCTTTATCTCTTCTTTTAAATTTTTCTTCTGTTGTATACATAATACTTAGATGTACAGGTATATGTGTGAATTTTTAAAATGTTTATTGGAGATATGCTAATTTTTACTGAAATAAAACTACATGATTAGAATTGCATAAGTGTTGGACTAGTAAGTCAAAACTAAATTAGATTTTCTTAGAGTCAGTCATGAGCAGAAAGCCCATAAACTAATATAACAGCAAGCCTACTCTTGTGTCAAAAAAAATACTATAAGCTTAAGTAAGAGCCCATATAACTGTGCTCCAAACAACTCCAGCTAGTACCCAGGTTCCTCCTTGACTCAAACATTAGATAACTATAAGTAAT